CCGCGATCCACCTCTACGAACGTGTCAAGGATCCACCTCTACGAACGAGTCAAGGATCCACCTCTACGAACGTGTCAAGGGATCCACCTCTACGAACGTGTCAAGGGATCCACCTCTACGAACGTGTCAAGGGATCCATCTCACGAACGTGTCAAGGATCCACCTCACTAACGCCAAGGATCCACCCTACGAACGTGTCAAGGGATCCACCTCTACGAACGTGTCAAGGATCCACCTCTACGAACGTGTCAAGGGATCCACCTCTACGAACGTGTCAAGGGATCCACCTCTACGAACGCGTCAAGGATCCACCTCTAACGCGTCGGATCCAACTCTACGAACGTGCTGGGATCCACCTCTACGAACGTGTCAAGGATCCACCTCTACGAACGCTCCAATGGATCCACCTCTACGAACGTGTCAAGGATCCACCTCTACGAACGTGTCAGATCCACCCTACGAACGTGTCAAGGATCCACCTCTACTTAACGCGTCAAGGGATCCACCTCTACAACGCTCAAGGATCCACCTCTACGAACGTCAAGGGATCCACCTCTACGAACGCGCCAAGGGATCCACCTCTACGAACGCGTCAAGGATCCACCTCTACGAACGCCAAGGATCCACCTCTACTAACGCCAAGGATCCACCTCTACGAACGCGTCAAGGATCCACCTCTACGAACGCGTCAAAGGGATCCACCTCTACGAACGTGTCAAGGATCCACCTCTACGAACGTGTTAAGATCCACCCTACGAACGTGTCAAGGATCCACCCTACGAACGTGTCAAGGGATCCACCTCTACGAACGCGTCAAGGATCCACCTACGAACGCGTCAAGGGATCCACCTCTACGAACGCGTCGGGATCCACCTCTACGAACGAGTCAGGATCCACCTCTACGAACGTGTCAAGGGATCCACCTCTACGAACGTGTCAAGGGATCCACCTCTACGAACGCGTCAAGGGATCCACCTCTACGAACGTGTCAAGGGATCCACCTCTACGAACGCGTCAAGGGATCCATCTCTACGAACGAGTCAAGGGATCCACCTCTACGAACGTGTCAAGGGATCCACCTCTACGAACGCGTCAAGGGATCCACCTCTACGAACGAGTCAAGGAACACCCTATACGAACGGGCCAACCCCACCCCTTATGCAGTACCAATAGCTACACCATAAAACCAGTAATTGGGTTGGTGAAAGTGATAACTATTTTTTTCCTATTTCTTCAACATTTTGTAAGATGTAATGTTCTGTCTGGTTAGGTTAGGTTATGAGTTGTTTGTATATACGACGTAGTTTTCATGGTTTTCTTGCCAGTGAGAGTGAGTTACCTTCAGTTTGGTTTGGTTCGATTTAATTTAGTATTCGACACTTGTTTGGTTTGGGCTTAAGTATTCGACTCTGGTTTGGCCTTAGAGACACATTTGCATTTATATTACCTGTATCGATCTTAACCTGCCCGAACCTAAACTTTCTTATCCTAACCTAATGTATTTTGTCCTCTTGTAGCCTAACCTAACCTAATATAACCTAACCCAACCTCTCCCATCCTAAACCAACCTATACTAACTTACCCTTAAATAAAACTAAACCGAAACCTTTTAAAACCTTATCCTTAACTTACGTATGAATTATGGAACTGTGAATCACGGCCTCTTATCTGTGTACACTTATATACGTACACGGTTTAATATTGTGACCTCGTAAGTCTTGATCATAATTAATCCAAACACGTACAGCAGAAGGTTGTCTTTGGGCGAGTTTAACTTCCACTATGAATGTAAGATTTTAGATGGTGCTGCTGTTTAACAATGTTACACTTGATGTGTGGAATAAAGTTAAATGGTAAGAGTAAACTGTATGTATGTTAAGTGTTCTACTGTGAGTACTGTTATCGGTATAGATAAACTGGAGGACAAAATTTAAGACTCCTAACCTAACTTAACCTGGTTGTTACCTTGAAGGGCGAGTGTTGCCAAGATATAACGGGTAACTCCCTCATTTAGTCCCCCAGATTCCTAAAGGATCATACAGTAAGTTTCGCCCCTCTTATTGTATACTGCACCTATCTATTATCTGCACCACGACACAGAGTTGGTTAAAAAATTGCTGTAAAATTATAACAATACTCTAGTGACCAGATGCGTTCTCTTGTTCCTATCAACAGGGAAAAAAATAAACGTATGAAACTGGTAATCCTGGAGGCAGCTCACCGACTACCTCACTTCCCTGACACTACCAGATCTGCAGAACAAAAAACAAACGCTAATGTGGTGCATGAGGAATGTGATAATTAAGTGGTTAGACGAGTCGGAATCCACTTTTTGTCCTAGTTGCCACTCTTGCTGCCCTCTTGTGGACGTCATTTATAAAACAAAAAATGATGATGTTTGTACAGGCAATGTGACGTCTGGCAATCTGTTAGTGACACTCTATAAGGGCAGGCTCAGGTGCTGTCTGAATCTGATGTGGCGCGTCTGCTCTATCTCACTTCCTGGAGTTACTTAAAACATCTTGGAATTCTATATTACTCAAAACAAATTCTCAATGGATAGTTTCTCAACAGTTAAACTCCCAGCAGCAAAATAATTATCAAGGTAAAATTACACCATCGCCAGCCTCTCTCAAGCCTCTAACAGACTACTCAGTTACAGTAGATTAAATTAGGTTAAATAAGGTAGAGGCCATGTTGGATATCTTCCCACTGGCCATCTATTCTATTGTGTTGTCTCCTGGTACTACAGAGTCCTTCTTTACTAACACTGGACTGAAGGACAATGGATGGCCCTCACCAGACCTCTAAGAGAGATTACGGAGGTGTTAATTAATGGAGGTAATCAGTATTAAATATATGCATCAATAAATAAATAAAATCCTCTAAATAAACTATACATTTTCATTTTATCCTTCATCGTGACCACTTCCACCTCATCATTCCCACTTGATTTACATTCACATTTTTCCTTCTGGTCTTTTTCATGGCCAATATACGTCACCTGTACCCTTCACTCACACGGTTCTCAACTATCACACAAGACACACACACACACACACACCACTGCCAACTCTTCCATGCCGGCTGTTCTGTTCTCACGACACATTATAAAAATCCTTAACCGATTAATCCTGTTCTTGGCTGACTTGTTCCATTCTTTCTGTTTCTTAATGTCCTCTTGTGCTCTTCTACCCCTCCCACACCACTATATACAATACGTACAGTAGTATATTAAAACCACATATTTCACCAACTCTCTCCTCCATTCACTTCTACCTTCACCTTTCATCTCTGCCAGTCATGTCAAACTCCAGCAGCCAAGTGGATGATTCCTGTCTGTGTGGATTGCTTCATTCTGCGCATGAATAGATTAATTAGTAGGGCACAGGAAGCTCTTACTCAGCTCTACGCACCTGATAACACCTCGTCTTCACTACACACAACGGAATATTCTATAACATTACTCGTATCACAAACATTAACACCCCCCCACCCCCCAGCTTATTTCACCAGAAGATTTAACCTATCAGCTTATTTCACCTTAACATTAACCCCCAGATTATTCAACTCATGATTAAACTCAGCTGATTTTACCGTAAGATTAACCACCCTAATGCAAACTTACCCCAGGTAGTGTTCAGGTGTTTATCTGGTGAAATAAGCTGGGGGTTAATTTTAAGGTGAAATAATCCATGGGTTAATCTTAGGGTTATATAAACTAGAGGGGGGGGGGGGAGATCTTCAGACAATCCCATAAGTAGCTATTAAGAACGGTACAGAGTCGACATATTTAGTTTCAACTCCGCCATAGATCCCAAAGAGGAGTTTAAGTGTAAATAAACATATGTCAACTGGGATCGTTTATATGACAGGTGTTGATGTGTGTGTGATAGCATTTGGGGTGACTGGGTGGTGAGGTGTAGGGATGGGGGTGAGGTGTGGGGAGGGTCTGAGGAAGGGGGAGATGAGTGGTGAAGGCCGGGGAGGTGAGTGGGGGAGGGAGGAGAGTGAGGGTGAGGTGGGATTTTGTTAACTCATTTTTGCGGTGGGATTTTATTCAGGTATTGTATTTCTTTTCCCCATGAGTTCATACCCAGAGCACACACACACGCACACGCACGCACGCACGCACGCACACACACACACACACACACACACACACACACACACACACACACACACACACGAATTAAAATAAATCAATAATCAGTTGAAATTTTATTTGGTAAAAGAAAACGAATACAGTACTGTATATTAAAAAATAAAAAATAAATAAAAAATAAAAGACAAATGGTGGTAGAGAAGCGGGGCAGGGAGTTGGCCTGTACTGAGCAGTGTGTGTGGTGGTGATAGTGTGTGTGACGCCTGTACCAACATGCACCCAGCTCGCTCCTCTTGGATGATTCATACAGTCTGTACTACTGTAAATTCGTCTCCATAGTACAGTATATATTCACCCTTATATTTAGTGGAGTCCGCCAAGTCACTGAATACCGATCCTAAAATGACTCAATGATTACTCGAGTATTAAAATCTTAGCTAATTGTTCATTGAAGCTACGACGCCCCAAGTGTCTGTTCTCCACATATTTTGTATATTTTTTCATCTCATTAAATAATGTTGTTTCAGTATGTAGACGTAACCAATGTTCCTACACTTTCCTCCTGTCTACCATCACCGTGTGGGAGACTTTATCATTTTATCACATTTTACAGCAACTTCCTATATGTCAGATTCCTCAACTAACATTAATTTAAAGTCTCCTTTGAGGTACATCCACAGTAACTTTGTGATATGAAATCTGAGAAAAAATCATCACTTTTTTCTACTTTTCTGTTTTGTCTCTTCCTGGTACCTCACTTGCTAACGAAAACCACGGTCCCCACGGTCATTCATCTGCCTCACCTCTCATTTAATAGTACCTGTTCAGTATAATCATAGCCTAATGCTGATATCCATAAGGGCGAAGGAACTAAGTTATGTTGTGTGTGTTGCAGGTGTTCTGCCCGAGCGTGACTATGCTGGAGACTACCAACATGGACGAAACGGACACCCCTCTGAAAGACGACAACTTTGTCCCCGCCAAATTCGTCATCGGTGCTAGCGACGATGAATTTGAGGAACCCGAAGTTAAGGAGGCAGTTTTGGTAAGTAAATTACCGGTATGTCCTAAAGATTAACAGACTGAGATTCTATGAAATAGTAAACATAGATGGGGTAGCAGGATAACACGCCCACTGCTGAAGCCTTCATCAATGTTAAGCAAACACATTACAGATTTTGTGAGTTAGCAAGTTTAAGGACTAACTAATTACTGTACTGTTTCACTGAGCTCCAATCTCTTTAAAGGTTCTAAATTACTACAGTACAGTAGTTTCAATTACAATCTCAGGTGATCTCATGATAAATCAGTTGCTGTACCTCCAAGTATTATCAGCTTGTGTTTTTGTTATAATGTTATTACTGCACTTCAACAATTAAGGTCCTTAAGAGAGTAACAAGAATAGTAATAACACAAGTCCAACAACAATCAAAAAGTATGAGAGATAGAACTCTATATCAGTTCACCTAATCTGTGAATATCTTACTATTCTGTCGATGTCATCTATACCAACACTCTGTTATGAAATGCCACACACTAGTTAAAAAATAGATTGTAAACAGCAGGGGGTGTAGATAGGCAACCCGTGTTTACTTGACCTCTTAAGTACAAACAAGATTCTGGGGGTGTTGAAGACCTTGATAGGGGCATTAGATAGAATTAATTTTGGTAGCAAGTACAGGCCTCGGTATTTGGAACTTTTATCGCCGGATATATAAAGCTATACTGTACTGTATATCCATTTTGTTATCTTGCTCGTCTCTACCATAAAACACAAATATTAATAATAGCAAGTGAAAGATTAAAAAGGAAATCCAATTTTATAGCCAAGTCGATAGCCCGGGCGGGTTATCATACTGCTGTTTGTTATTTTGGTGTCAAACGAAAGATTAAATCCTATTTAATGCTGAAACTCGTACACGTTTCTTAATTGTGGCTAGACGGTATATATTTGTGGTTTGTTCACCATCTTATCAACTCACATCACGTTTAAAGGGTTACTCTCACAACACTGTTGTAAAACCTGGTTGCTTGTCTTTTGTGTTTTAAAATGACCTTTGTATGTAAGATAATATTAGCCTTACATGGCATCCAAAAGCTACACTATTGATTGGGGTATTATAATGGTTCATTAATTACAAAAATCAATCATAAACAGTGAATTTTATTTCTTATTTGTTATGTTTTATTAAAAAAAATTTACGTGTGTATTTTATGGTATAATTCATAGTGTTAGTTAATAGTGCCAATATTAAAACTAACAATGAAAATTCACCCACCTTGTTGTACTCTAGGGACCATCCAATCCATGTTTCACAATACAACCCAAAACACTGTACAGTACAGTATTCACATGGAGTATAATATATAACAATACAAATAGAAATTTTGATATAATACTCTATAAAAGTATTCTATTAATGTAAAAGATATGGAAAAAGGCTAACCAAACTAAATAGTTATTTCCTCTGACCAGAGGAAGGATATTGTCATAATGGAATTAACACACGAAGAGGAAGTAACAACTACCATACAGCAGGCCAGCTGACCATACACCATCCATTCATTTCTTTGTTGTTTCCATCAATTTCACCAGAGTATAATTTGACCTTAAATCAAACAACACCAAAGTTCTGTAACATGATTAATTGCATCCTCTTTCATAATACAATATGAAACACTATAAAAACTAACTCCTCGTGTGAAGGAAGTAGGGGGCTTGGTGCCTGGCTTGTGAGTGAGTGGTAAAAATTATATAAAAAGATTACCTTATAAAGGAGTCCTGCACCGGGAGGCAACACTGGGAACCATTACCAGGTCATCTGATTTTGTGTGTTTTGGCAGATACTTGGAAGATTCTGTAGTCAAGATTGCCAGATGATCAAGGTTCAACTGTGTCTAGAAATTGAAAAAAAAACGGAAAAAAACTCACATTACTGATTATATATCAGTGAAAATGAGGCCATATTTATTCCTAGGGTGGAAAATAGGACCCTTATTTACACCAAAATAAAAAATAATGATCCTTGGTTATCCCAGGGGAAAAAAAAGAAACTTACAGAGTGCTGGTACCTGGTCCCCAGTCCAGGGGATTATCACTATACCATATACACTATAAATTTAACAACAATTCTTTTCACTATTTTGTATACTGTACAGTATTTTGGTGTTTAAGTCTCATCAGTTGTGTCTCCCTCTCAGGCTACACACGTTGTTCCCCCTGATGGAGGATGGGGGTGGGTAGTGGTGGCAGCGTCATTCATGTGCAATGTTGTGGTGGACGGCATCATCTTTTCCTGTGGTATGTTGCTGCCCAAATTCAGGGAGGAGTTTAATGTGTCTAATTCTGAAGTATCGTGGGTCAGCTCGCTTCTTGGAGGCTTCTACCTCATCGTCGGTGAGTGATGTGTTTTAAGTTTGAATTTGCTTGGTGGCCAAATAAATAATAAATAAATTATTTTTTTAGTATTATTATAAATGACATTCAGCTGCTTTGTATAATACTTTCAGCTTCTTATTACTGTAGTAGTAATCATTATAAATGATCATCTTCATCATATGACACAGCTCTCACATTTATAATGCATCACTGCAAGATTACTAATTGAGAATTATGTGACTAAACCATGAGAACAGTTTTATTTAATCTTGTATATTCTCTGACACAGGATCTCTTCCATAGTTAAATGCCATGTTGGTCAGTCCAGCAGAAGTCATGAAACCTGTGACCTAATAAAATCCTTCCTATTTCACAGAGCATCACTTATTTATTTTTCCTTTTTGTTTTCTAGGGCCATTTGTATCTGCCTTAGCAAATGCATATGGCTTCCGGACCGTGTGCATCTTAGGAGCGGTAATATCCTCAGTGGCCTTTGGAATCTCTTCATTTGCTACTAGTATTTACTTCCTTCAGTTTACCTTTGGAGTTATGGGTGGTGAGTTTATTTACATCACTCTTTAGCCTCAGTATGAAGATATACTTTTAGGAGAAACTGCAATTCATATAATAAAAGGAAGTTACAGTTACAACGTCCTGATATGATACATATCTGAATTTCCTGTTAATTCTGTCTATAAGTAAGAAAGACAAGGTGTATCTATGAGTAGAGAAGAAGGGTGTTTATGGTGGCATGCACAGAACATCAGAGGGGTCTGTGCTTAGTCAAGAAAAAGGGCACGTCTTGGGAGATCCACCCTAGGAAAGTTTAAGTAATATAACATCTAAATACTACATTTGGATTAGTTTTAGAAGGGAAAGTTTACAATGCACCATGATGTCAAATTGTTTCAAGAGTTCAAATGTGTTTTAAGGAGAACTTCTCAAGCATAAGAGCAAAAGAGTATAGAAAGTTGAAAGTGCTGGAGTGATGGAGGGTATTTTATCCCTTCATTACAGGGACACCACTTTTAATATTTTATTTGGCTAACACCAGATGATTTTATTCAGCTGAGAGGTAACACCATACACAAGAGGTCAAGTAAAAAATTTGTACAGGTACAGTACTTAAGTGTGATTTTATAAGCAATGTAACCAAATACACTTGAATGGCTGGACTGTTCTTTATTACCTTGTTTTAGACCTTCATTATTCCCCCTTCAGACTATTAAATATGTCAGGTGAATGGCATTACAGTATCAATTACTGTACTCCATTATTATTTCATCAACCAAGCTTCTCAACTTTCCAGGTGTTGGGTTTGGACTAATATACGTCCCAGCTGTGATTGCGACAGGCTTCTATTTTGAAAAACGTCGTGCCCTGGCAACTGGTATTGCTGTTTGTGGCTCTGGTATTGGTACCTTCATATTTGCACCGCTGAATAACTACCTCATTGCTGCAATGAACTGGCGGTGGACTCTCGTTGTGTATGCAGGTCAGTACAGTAAACAGCTTAGGAAATGATGGTAATGATCAGGTGCTTGTTCATAGCTAAGTTACTTAACTACTCAGTAACAATTAATGCATTACCTAAAACAGTAGACATCCAATTTCTTATCTACAACATATCACTCATTCTGGGAGTCCTGCCAGAGGAGGTAGCCATGGAAAAACAGGACCCACCAAGGGGGGTAATCAATGCCAATATCTATGTTTATTAACTATAACACTTTGTAATCTGGGGCAGTTATCACAAAGATATCGGTATACCTTTAGTGACTTCTTATTTATCATTTCACCAAATATCAGTTGTTCTTTATTATAACCTCTTCCTTCAAAGCATTACAACAGAGAGACACTAGTCTGAGAAAAAAATTCCCCACAATACGGTGATTGTAAAGTCACATACAACTCGAGAGGGTAGATGGGTAATCTTTGATTACCTTGGGAAATTGCCACCCTGCCTTGCCAGCTAAAAGGGAACTTGGAAGTCCTGCATATAATGCCTAGTTCCCTCTCTGTAAAATTGGTTTGACAGCAGGAAGAGAATCCAACCTTATAACTTGACTCAAATTTGCCTGAAGGCAACCAGGTTACTATACCATCAGGTAATCACAGCTAGCCTATACTCCTCATAGGGTTAGTGTGAAGGTGATGAAAAATACAGTACTGTACACCAATTAATATGGTACCTTTATGTTTTCCAGGAATAACACTAAGTTGTGCAATATTTGGGTTGGCATTCAGACCACTTCAACCCACCACAAATTCCAGTGACGACTACGATGAACCCAACGGTACACCGCTGCTCATGAGGTCAGTGTGTATCACCATTTTTATGATTATTATTACCCTGTTTCTTAAGTGTACTTAATGGTCTTACCAACTTCCACTACCAGCTGATACAGGAATTCCCATACTGTACCTTTGATTAAATTAAGAAATACCTCAAGCAAGGAACAAACTGCCTAAGCTTTAACAGTACTAAAGCATAATACAGATGTAGTACTGTAAATATGGTTTTGAATGAGGAAACCCTCTACTCAGTTATAAATAAACCAGCATTTTTTTTTCTTTAATTTTGTACAACAGGATTAAGAGAGCTCGAGATGATCAGATGAGACAATGTGCTTCTGCCCTCTCTATGGCTTCCACCTACTCCAAGACAAACTTAGATGATGCCTTGAATGAAGTAGACATGAAGGTGAGAGTTTTGTCTTAACAGATCCAAATATGGTAGTATCTTTTTTTCTCCATTTCCACCACTTATCAGCTTACTACCCAGTAGCCACTCAAGCAGTTGGACTGTTCTTTGTTACAAACTTCATTGTTCAGTAAATCTTGGGGTAGCTAATATTTTAGTGCCCAGAATGTAGCCAATTATGACACATAGGTGTAACTGATTTACAATTCGTTCTGCTGAAACATGTCCTCCCAAGCTGGTAGGGATATTTGATCATATATATAGTATATTGCAGTGCAGGCCATACAGTATTTAATGTTCAGATTATGAGTAAGAGAAATTGTGTGTTTACAGGGAACCGGCAATGCTGCACATGCTCGCACACTCCTAGAGCGACACGGTGGCAACATGCATAAACGCTACAGTTTTCCAGGCATTGTGCTCACAGGGCCTGAACCCATTAAGGAAGAGACAGAGACGCCTCTCATTGGTACGTCACGAGTTTGTCCCACAGGCTTATTGAAAATGTTGTACTATATTAATAAAATTAAACTGAAAACTGAACTGTATAACTATATACATACAGTATTACATTAAGGAAAGTGTTTGTTACTGATTATTTGCTTTATGGTAAGTAGCTAAAAAGAGGTAATACATCAGAAAAAAGAAAATCAGCTTTCTTGAAGAACAGTTTACAACAGTCTAAATTAGGAAAACATCATATCATATATTGTACATTATTATTAACAAAAATGACTGCATCCCAACAGAGTCCGAGGGAAAAGATGAAAATGTGAAAGAAGAATCTGATAGTCAGGACACTCGAGTACTGGATGACAACAAAAATGAAACACTGTTTAAGAACAAGACCAATGAAAGTGAACATAACAACAGCACCACCACAACTGCCAACCATTGCCCACGTAATAAGAGTGCTCCTGTCCTTGCTCAACCTAATTTTCACTCTGTTGGTGAGTCTACAAAGTGACATTTGACACCTGTGGTCATAAACATTGCTGATAATAATATAATGTACAGAAAAACACCAGTGTTGTGGGGAGGGATGATTTAAATTATTATTTTTTCACATTTTACCAGAACAAATGCGTCGTCCTTCACGGTTGGCATTGAGAACAGAGACTGCTCGACCCTTCTACCGTGAAGATATTTTCTATTCAGGCTCTATGTATCGACTTCCTCAGTATCGAAGCTCAGTAAGTTCACATTCTGTTGTCATTTCTGTTGTTGTAAGGTTTTTTAGGTCATTCTGATTATGGTACCAAAGCCTTACTTATTGCCATAAGATATGCATTTAAGCATGTTTTAGAAACAGTTTTTCAATGTACATTAGAGTTCAAGGAAATCATTCTCTATGCAAAACGCTCTCAAGATCTTAACCTTTGACTGTCTTATCACAAATTCAGTAGGTGTCAGTGTATCCATAAGTAAATCACTGTATTGCAAATTTGTTCTTGAAATATTCTGTAACTTTCCAATTACTGGAGTAGAAATTACAGTAAACAACTTTGTTCTAATACTGTACAGTACTGTACTACTTCCTTAATATCTATACTGTACTGTAATTTCTGCCCTTGTTAACTGAACGTGATTCTCTCGTACAGGACTCTGTTGATAAATACCACCAGTCTGTGACACAGCTCCCTCCCATGGAGGACATAGCTGAGGAAGAGGACCGTGGCAGGTGTCAGTGCTGCCCCACAGCACTCACCAGTATTATACACAGAATCTTTGACTTCTCACTCCTGACATCACCAACCTTTGTGGTGCTTGGTGTGGCAGGCTTCATGTCCTTAATGGCCCTGTTTGTGCCATTTATGTTTTTGCCAGGTCAGTTATGATTCACTTTTTAGTACACCTATATGTACAGTACAGTGAAACCTCTCTAATATTCATTACTTTTGGGGAAGGATGTCAAAATGAATTTCTTAACTTCTCAACCTTACACTCACTCCAGGAGTTTAGAAAGCTTTACAGCTCTTGCTGGACAACATGACTATGGTAAATTAAATATAAAGAAAGAGAGAAACATAAGGGAAGTTTGATACATATTTACTGTACTCACATCAAGGGCTGGTGCATGATTGATGTAAACAACAGGAGGCAGCTGGGTGGCCACTCACATGCACACTCTTTTGTACACAATGTGGATGTGTTGGCTGCTAGTTGATGATCTGAAAATATTTACTGTAACAATAAAAAAATGTGTGAATTTTCATCAATTTGAATTAGTGGGGTTTCTCTATATTTTATGTATCTGTTTATAATGCATTCATAATTTTCTGCTGTGATTTTATGTCAATTTTAAAGATTCTGATTATATTAAGTTAGTTTGATTGTACACCAGTTCTCTTACTGAGAGTTTTTATATAATACTCCCATGCTCAAGGGGTATGTTTGTTCTGTGTAATTCTGGTTAATTTCACTTATTGTAACTAGAGTAAAATCTTTCAAATGAGATAATACAAGTACAGTTCTCCAATACTTTTTTTAGGGTTTGCAACCAAACAAGGACTAACCGAAGGATCAATTGCTACACTGGTGTCAACTATTGGCATAACCAACACAATAGGCAGAATTCTGTGTGGTTGGGTCTCAGACCACCCCAAGGTGAGATACTGTACTCTTACATAACAACTGTAATATATAACATTTAGTACTAAACTGATTAGGTTAAAGTCCAAGCAAGTTCCATGTATACAAACATGCATATTTGAGATAGTGTATACAGTCAAGTCTCTCATGCCTTAAAAATAAACAAAAAATTCTAGCAGTTATTACTGTTCCTCTTGAAGGGATTAATTTTACAGTACTACACAAAATGGTAATACTGTAATATTGCATGCATCTTTTCTTCCAAGGGTAAATGCTGTATATTTTTTACATGCACCAGTAAAAAATAAATACAGTACCAGTAAAGGTGTTCCTGTAGTAAGGAAGATACTACATATTATTATTATTATTACAGTACTATTTAATAACAAGATTTCATATGATTAGGTAAAAGACAAGAATTATTTGATCACAGTGTTCTGCATCTTCAGAATCAGCATGAAACAAACACTCACTGCTTCAACTATGTTGTTCTTGCAGGTGGATGCCTTGTGGGTAAACAACTTTTCATTGATTCTGGGCGGTGGAGCAACTGTGCTGCTGCCTCTCATTACTGATGAGTCCCTGCTGCTTGTGTACTCTGTTGCCTTTGGTCTCTCTGTAGGTATGTATCAGAATTTAATAAAATGTGATAAAGCTGACTTTTGATAACAGTTTATAATTTCATGGTACAGTACAGTAATCTGCACAAATGCTCACCTTCTGCTGTGTGATGCACTACACTTGAAAATACTTAAAAATTACCAATAAAATATTTTGGGGGGAAATCATAATACAAGGTATTAGTACGTAGAATAGTAGTATGGAAAAATATGAATTCTGTAAAACACAGAATATATTATTTATCTCAAATTTTCAAATACCTGTACTGTACTCACTGAGAGTTGTGAACTCTTGGGACAATCTACTAGTGTTATGACAGCACAAAGTGTGAGCTCATTCAAGACCAGACTTGACCAACACTGGTGCAGGTACAGATACATTCTGGAACCAGCATGCCCAGTACTTGCCAACAGTGCGTAAGAGATGTGACCGACTGCCCAAGTGGCTAACAGGCCACTACGGTATATTTGTGGTTTTATACATTTTATTTACAGCTGCCTTTTAATTACAGCTGCATTTGCTTCACTGCGTTCCATTCTACTTGTGGAGCTTCTAGGCTTAGAGAGATTGACAAATGCTTTTGGCCTCCTCCTACTTTTCCAAGGCATTGCTGGGATATTTGGAAGTCCTGTGGCAGGTAAGAAACCCCAGGTTATTATAGTCATTGATTTAAAAGGAAAAACATCCATTTATAACATACAGTACTTCAGTACCAGTATGCTTACTTATTTCACACAAACAATTGTATTAAGTTTATCAGTAAGCTTTTAATATACCATCATTCTCCTAAAAAGCCTTGTAAGTGCATTCAATACCCAGTGTTTTCAGTTTACTTCTCATATTCTTCATGTTTAATCTTGTTTGTTTAGTAAGAAATGGTGGAACGTTGTCCTTGGACTTATCCCTTGTTGGCCTGAGTACACCAACAGAACAGGAGTGAAATATGATCCAGTACCATATACTTGCATAAGCATTTTGTCATAACTAAAATTTTGGCTAGCCACAGATGGTTTGATTAGCTGACTAAATAGTACTGTAATTGTCAAATGATGTATGACATCACATGCAACCTTTTTATATTTCATGGGTTGTGTCTGTTCCAAAAATATGTTAAATTTCCTTATTTTTAATTCCCAATTTACTTTTTTCCCAAATCAGGTGCATTTGTTGATCTGACCAACAACTACGACGTGAGCTTCTACGTGTTTGGTGGACTGTTTGCATTCTCGGGTATTGTGTGCATCCCGCTTCGGTTCATCAAACGCTGGGAAGACAGCAGAACAATAAAACTACAAGAAGCAAAAGATATTGAACTGAAGGCATAGTGATAATATTCCAAATTTATGGGACACAAACCGAGTGGACTTGGTAAATTCAAAGTAGTCAGCGTAAGACTTGCAAACTTGATACAAAGAAGAAAATTTATTTATTCATATAATTATTTTCTTTTCCTTTAAAAAAACTGATGTTATTTACATGTCAGCTTCAACACAAACTAATAAAATTAATGTTTTACTTTTAACAGACAATTGAGTTGTTTTTGAAAGTATGATTTTTAGATATGGCAATACAGGTACTGTATTTTACAATGAGTCAAAATAATATTTCTATTACTGAATATTCGAAAACAGTTCAAGTTGCAAGCCTTAAGAATGAGAGTACCTATAAGTTCTCAGGTTTGGGTACTGCTGTACTTCAAAGTTAAATGCTCACAGAAACAGTTATTTTGTCAGCACTCTTAATGGACGACTCCTGTATTGAGTTACGACAGAACAAAAACTTTTGGACTACCGGTACACATTGATTTCAGATATAAAGCACAACAATAGTGAGATACTGTACATACAAACTGCACACACATACTACACACATGCATGCAAGAACTCTTTACTATTTACATACCGTCTTCACAATGAAACTGCCTTAAAAATACTGTACGGTATATTCAGAATAACATGTGCCATAAAAAGATTAAGTGGATGAATTCAGATACATGTATATATTGTACTGTACAGTATTTTAAAGTGGGTAAAAACATTAAAATATAATATACTCGTAGATTACTCCTCAAACTCTGGTCACATAAACTTATGGTAGATGAATTTAGTAAACCATGAAGGTACTGTATACCGTGAATGAAAGGTTAGGTAGTACACTGTAGAAGAAATAAAATGTAGCCTTCCCCATTTTTCCACAGGAAAAAAAACATAAAAACTACAGAGAACAAAAGCAGTACGGGGGAGGAGAGAAGGAGTACAAACAAAAATAAAACACTTCTCACTGGCATGTTTCTGTTGGTCACACGAGCCCTACAGGCTACACGCACACATTACCACAAAACCTCAAATCTCTATTCAACACAAAAAGATTTACTGTGTCTACACTTGTTTCTTTGTCTCACACACTTTACTCTTGTCCCTCAGGTGCAACAAGGCTGAATTCTTTTTATTTTTATGTTATCATCAGGAACCTAAATGCACTACAGTATTTGTATAACATTTAACACCCATAATACCAGTTACTATTCACTATAATGATTGTGAATCAAGCTGGAACCCTTTAAGGTCATGTACACAAAAACTTTAAATGGTGCTCTATTATATACTGTACTGTACTGTATTGTACTCATCCATCCATACTGTATTATCCATTATACATTACCTTAAATATCTTAAATAAAAAGATCATACATGACAACATTAATTCTGTTAAACAAGAGAGACATGAGACAATTGTGGTCATGAGAGAGACAGACAAATAGTGAACCTTGATCAAGATATGAGGCACATACAACCAGGGTGGACAAAGAACCACTAAGGTCAAAATGGAGAATTATTCATAAAAGGAGAGGGAAACCAGCTCTGTATCCTAAGAAAGACTCGGTTACTCAGAATGGAAGTGGCAATATGGTCGATTTTGCGATTAAGTAAAGCTACCCATGCATCACTACATGCAGAGCTGGTAGTGAGGGTGGCGGCAGCACACCGGAGAGAGGAAAGCGCCATAGACCTCTATTTTTTTCCTGGAGCTTTGTCCACTCTGGTCGTACTGCCTCATATGTAATGTATACGTATAATATTTTAGGTTGTGTTTTACATAGCAATTACAAATTTGCAATTCATATTGAATACAATACTACTGTTCTGTAACCCATCTGTAAGTGTTACAGCAATAGTGTTTACTAGTGGTTCATAAACTACATATTAATAGTTGCTCACAATGTGTTTGTTTATATATATATATATATATATATATATATATATATATCATACTGTACTTAACCTCCACCAATGAGAGTTGAACCCAAACTCTTTGTGGAAGTCAAGAATGTTACCCACATGCCATCAAGTGCACAAAAATATCTGATCAAATAGGACACACAGACATACATACACCCAACTCACACACACACACACACTTGGAAATAAACAAAGGTACAGTTATGTGAATGGGCAGAATTATTTACATTTGAAAATAACAGTGAAGAGCAGTGTCATTTATGAAGGTCATATTCTGTATACCTGGGAGGAGCAATGAATATGGAAGATGATAGTACGGTACGTAATTGTTGGGAGATATAGAGATGGATACAAGAAAGAGAGATGGATACAAGAAAGAGCATTAGCATAGAGAAAATTAGCGAGTGTTACATGAGATAATGAATATGTGTGATACTGTACTGGACCAACTTGTAGTTACCATACTGTATAGTCAATAGAAGCACGTGCCATACTAGCAATACAAACTCATCCATAATTAGCTCTGTGTTGCAATAATAATATGCCAGATATTTAGGTCCTGTAGAAAACTTATTAAATGTCTCATCTATTTAATCATACACAGCAGATTCTAAACCTGCCTAAATAAGAATTGCAGGCAATCAATCACAGTGTTGTAGAGACATTATAGAATTTCCATTATACAGGTACAGGGTACTCACAAGTCCCTCAATTTTCGTGTTTACAGAGATCCACGAGAAAGTCACAGCACACACCCAGATCTTGTACTGCCATCATTTATTATTTCACCAGAGAAGTAAGTGCTGTATACACAAAAAAATAATGTACTACACACCTAAGTCATGAATGCATAACTTTCTCAAGGGTTCCTATAAACACAAACACTTCAAGGAACTATGAAAACACTCTGTACATTGGAGATTTAGTGAACATTTTTAGACTGGGTATCTGATGGCACATAAATCAGGTATACTTTAGTATTCCAGATTAATTTTGCAACAGAATTGATGCTTCAGGGTGGAACTGTAATGCTCACTGAACCATTACAGTGAGGTATGGTAAAAGTATGAAAATCTAAATAACACAATGAATTATTGGAGATATGAAGTTGCATTGCATTTTCGTATGAGTTCTGGATTCACTGGAATATTTTGGTATGAAGTACTGTACTGGTAAGGCCTTTTCAAACATGCAATACTGTACATGTACTGTACTACTGTAAGATCATGCAGTTAATATTACCAGAGAACACGTTACGGCTTACAAGTTCTTAGACTACTGTACTGTATGTATCTAAATTACTTTTAAGAGCTTAACAATGTCAAAGATCAAATAGTATATACAGTATGAAGGTACAGTATATACTGTATATATATTACTAGAATGACACAGTAGGTGCTTGGAAAACTTTTTTCCGTCACTGATTACTCATGTATTTAAGAAGAATGCGTATATCAAGTGGTGTTATAATATTTATACTCTCTCTATGGAATGAAAAGTCACCTATCACCACTATACAGTATAGTGAATGTAATGTATGGGAATTCATAAATGTGTATATAGTACTTATCTCACTTGCCTGTTTTTTGAAGGACTTAACTACCATACATTTTGAGGTCAGGACAAATGAGGGTATGTTACCTTACTAGTTTGGGAATTAACTATATACAGTATATGATATTACTGAACAATACTGAACACTTTTCTTGAGTTAGTGTCTCTTTGGCATCGCAGAAAGATGATGAAAAGTGTAGTTATATAAGAGTTGTTTTAAATCAATTCTTCCACCAGTTACATGATTTTTTTTTTTTACAAAGGCTTACACTGTGATATTTTTCCACAAACATTATCAATGTTTTGCCATACAAGTAATATGACATGCAAGTTTATTTTTAGCATTATATAAACTTTATTTATTTTTTACATACTGTTCCTTACATGTACAGTACCCTGAATTATCATGAAGTATATTTAGTCAGGTCACATGTCGGACCTGATGAGCATTATTTGTACTGTACTGATGCCACTTTAGCCCCTCATATATACACTACTGTATATTTTACTTGCCTGGTGTGTGGGTGATAAAGCACCACCAAGTACAGTATTTAAGACATACAGGAGGTGAAATTTCTTTTGAAGTTTTTTTTTTTTTTATTAAATACAGTTACTTTATCTTGGTTAACTATGAAATGATCAAGTATTAAAAAAAATATTTTTAAGTATATAGCAAATGCTGTTAATTCCATATTGCACATATAACCCAGTTTTTATTGTATATTTATACTGTTAAGAGCATGTGATATTTATATTATAGAGTTTAGTACCTTTGTTTCTGATATCCATTTGAATGTTATTGTTTGCTTAGCATACTGTACCTGCAGACTATAAATGTTCGAATATTATATCAAGAAGGTAAATAATGCCTGATAAGTTTTACAGTTATCCGCTGTAACATTTGCTCCTCTTAGATTATAGCTACAACCTCTTCGTGAGGCACATGTTTTTAGGTACAGTATATATTTTGTCACAATTTAGCAAGTAAGAGGCCTTACCTGAATTACTGAACTGGGTCTCTTGTTTCAACTGTGTCCATCCAGTGCTAGCTAACATTAGGTTTAAGTATTTTCTTTAGGGTTTAGTCAAGGTTTGATATTGAATTATAAATCAGTTTTAATGAACTGATAAAACAAATAATTTATGCAAGTACTGGTACTGTACTTAAACCTTGTATTGTCACTTGAAATATTTTATTGACGAGTTGATATGAAATAGGAATAAAAGAGTTTTTTTACTTGTGTTTACATATCCACCAATAAGGAATATTACCCTTTCATTATGGTTCACAATATATGACAGCAGCAACTTTATTAAATCCAGATCCCAACAGTACTGTGCAGAGGTAGATGCACATGACACTCCTGAAGAGCTTGAGGCTGACAATAGAGGAATTAATTATCAACAGGGTTGGAGTCTTGCAAATGATTTGTAAGAAGAAAGTACTGGGAACAAGTGCAACCATGGGAGACACACAAAACATTTATGTGAAAACAGTCGATCAATCTCAAACCACACAACCTCCTACCAAAGCAGAGGTTTGATATACTGTAGGAGCATTAATCCTAATGAACGTGAGGCTTGAATAATTGACAAACCTGTCTGAGGAAACATGTAAAGGACCTTAGAGTCAGTCAGTTATAGGCATGAAGGAAAGTTGTTAATGGACTTAACAATTTCCTAATTTATCCTATCCAATCCAATATCCTCAAAACCATAAGCTAACTCATCCCATCCCCAGTGATTCTTAGTCATGCAGTATTGATGTCACTCTCTACAGTACTACACAGCTTGGTTTGCCCATATGCATATTTTGTTCTCATTTATAATGGCACCAGTATATGTACAATTCCTTTGCAAATAGAAGTTTCAATACACTGAAGTTCTCCTGATATGAAGTAGCCCTCATGTTTGTCAACGTTTAATATTACACTAAAGTTAAGGATAATACTTACAATAGTTGACTGAATCACATCTCTCATCGTCTAGATTTCTTGTGTGTAGGGTTGGCAGGCCACGATGGACATTGTTAACTCTGGTCCCCACAAAACATTCTCCTTCCTTGTTCTTGATTAAAGCTGCTACTTTACAATAATGTCTTATACCTCCTCTGATTGATGTGCTGTAACGTCCCTCCGCGTTAAAATATTTACCTGTAGAGTAAAGACAGTTCACGTTAGTCTGGTAGTGTACAAGAGGCACATGTCAGCACACCGCCTTGACAGCTGACACACCATGTTCTAACGGTAAACAAAAACAATTCTGTCAAGTAAGCCAACTCAGTCACTGATATTAATAAAACATCCTTAACCTACTTAACATACATCCTTGACATACATCCTTAACATACATCCTTGACATACATCCTTAACATACATCCTTAACACTCACCAAAAGTGAGTTGTAAAACCCATGAGCCCATTTGTATCCACGACTCAGGCATGGGCGTGACTAGGTGCTGACACGTGTCTTCTGCTGCGCCCTGAACCAAGAGTAAGACATTCGGCCTCAGTCTTGTATTGGTGGTTTACGTCTGTATAAGTTATTTGTTATTATCTTGTGGTAAGGCTATGTTAACCTCCAGGTACCTTCATCTTTCTATCAACATTTATACGTGTAGCACAACCTTTGGAAGCTAGTGAAGAAAAATCCTCAAATAGGTAAAAACAAAAATGGCGGAGTTGTCTTGGAAGGTCTGGAGCCCCGAATCATTGGCAGCTAGTGACGGTTTATATTCGTTCCTGCGTGATTATTTTCTGAAATACCACAATAAATATTTCATCCACTAGGACCTTGGTTACAAATAATGGTCTCTGGTCTCAAATGGTAAATGCCCAGACTTATGTGGAGAATTAAGTCTGTTACTCCCAGTACATTTTTCAATGCCACTGCCACATGGCTTCATTAGTCTATTGACCCATACAAAGCCTAGTTATCTATAAACGTAGCTGTACACACGAAAACAGAAACAACTGCACCTTTTTATATTGATATACTGTAATGGCACTTATAACTCACCCATATTACATTATAATGAAGAAAATAAAGGAGGGTTGCTTGGGGCAGGCGTCACTTGGCAGCCGGCTGGCAGTTGTCTCTGCTGACACTCGGGGGGGGGGGGGTACAGGGAGCGCCTTCGTGCATGAATCAAAATTATTTGATGTTTGCCGAATTTCTATTAACTAAATTTTTATTTTTGGGATTGATATTAGAACGTAAGTAAAGGGACCTAAAATAAATATTTATTACCCTAGGCCTAAAATATGGGCAGATCCTAGCTTATATACACCCCCATGTTTTGCCAGCTATAGTACAGTACATACATACAATGGAAAAAAAAATAGTCACCATTGAGAACAAAAATGAACCTAAAGAAATTAGTTTCTTCTATATTTAAGTTGGGCGCCCTGTTCGGCTGTACCTTTTGGACACTCCTAAATCAGGCATTGACCAATTTGCCCTACTGCCTTGTGCCTACACAATTTACTGAACTATTTATCCTCCTTCCTTCTCATTAACTCTACCTCCCCTAGGTGCATGTGCACAGCCACTCTCATCGTGCTATGGTGTCATTCCCATGATGTAAATTCTCTAAATGTTCTCCTCGCCTCAAACTAGGTAAACAAACAGCCTTTTAGCTAGTTATAGGTCCTGTGACAATTTCATTACTTACACTTTGAGCATCATCCTTGTCTGTAAACTCAACAGGCATCCTCTGCATGGCCCTCTTCCACCTCTGACTAGTCATCTGTTCCAGAATCTTACCTACTTGGCTTGAGACAACTTTTCTGTATTACCATTTGTTTCTCCTGATTAACTTTCCATGTTTTAGTCAAACTTATTAACATGTGACCAACATTATATCCTCCACTTTCATAATAATACAGTGTATGAGAAGAGGTTTGTAAATGTCAGTACCTGTACAATGAACTTACTCCCTTTAAGGAAGTCTATATATTTTATGTAACTGCCCAATCCTAATCGAAGAGCTCCAGCATCGTGCAAGTGTTTTTTCATATTCTAAAAGGATAACAAAGACTCATACCTCTAATACATTTCCTTTATTTTTCTTTTATGTCAATGATAACAATAAATATATATACTGTACTGCTCTATCTTTATTATGTTACTTTTTAACTTTTATTCTTCCTTCTTTGATTTCACAAGAGACTGAATCACTCGCTTCTCTTCTTTTTCTTCTGTTTCTGATGTGAGGACGTGCTTTGTTTTCTTTTCTTCTTTTGTTTCCCATTTTCTTCTTCTATTGATGCCTCAACTGTTGCTTCCTCAACTTTTTCTTCTGTTGCTTTCTCAATTGTATTACCGTCTTCCTCTTCTACATTTTGGGCCTTTTTTGCCCTTTTCTCCCTTTTCTTTTTCCTTTTAGAATCTTTAACAGCTTCACCTTCATTGATACACTCCTCCTGTGAAGCTTTGATTGTTGCTGTGTCAGTATTTTTACTTTGGAGATTTTTTACACCACTGAAAAATAAAATCAGCAAAATTAGAATGGAGAATTAATCCACAAATCCCATATATTATTAAAAAACAACTCAGGTTATATTACATGTTATGAAGACACTTGCACCACTGATGACAAGACAATGGAGGTTGGGGGTACTTTGAATTTTCATCTTTACACAGACAAAGTGAACATACTATGTAATAGTATTTATATCCCTACCACACCTGTACCACTACAAATGATAACAAAGAAAATTGAAATAAAGGTAAAAAATTTATACTGGCCAGCTGATAAGATCTACCTTTCCTGTAGTCTGTCATGTGGAGCTGCAACCTGGAACTTAACCCCCTGTTTCCCAGATGCCACAGGTATTTTTCTATGTAGATTCACTTTGTCTATATTGAGGGTTTACTTTAATAATATATTCTTAAAGAACTCAAAAGTTTAAAAATATATCAAATTAAGATCATACAGAGTTGAAACTAAGAGGCCACCATACAGGGATACTTACTAAACCACTTTAGGAAGTCTGAGAGCTTGTTGTAGAGCATTGTATGGTTTTCTGAAGGCATTCAGTGATTTTCCTGAAATGCGTTGACGGACTCCTATCACTGCAACTTTAATTTCATCCCAGTTGAAGTTATTAGGCGACCCTTTCTGTGCATGGTTCTGGAAAATACGTATTGTATACAACATTTTAACAACATCAAACAAATAACACAATTTCATAAGAACAGTTTGCCTCCATAATCCCAACACTCAAAAAATATCTCCCAGGTACAGTATAAATTTCCTGTGCAAAAATGTTATATTCAAGCAAATACTCATATACACACACACATAAACAGAGACAGTCTTAAGCACTTACAACCTAAGATACAATAAATCCTAACACACACACTATTGAAAACAGACTTGGAACAAATGTTACATCACTACCTATGTGGCCTGTTGGTTAGTAGCATCCAAGCTGTCACTGAGTGATGGCCACAATCAACAAACATACAAATACATTTTCCCTCACTCCAGGAGGGATCAGCATGCACTAAACACTGCCACCATACTAAAAGAAACTTAAGTACAGTATATAAAATGTACTTACCTTATGGATGATCACAAGAACGGCAAAAAGACTTGCCATATATGCACCATTTATAGACTCTGGAGTCTGGAATGAGTTCAGAGCCTGAAAAAAAATAAAAATATATAGTATTTGTTTATTATTGGTAATAGCATTACAGTAAAATCCCTGAGTACCGGACTAATTAAACCAGTTATGTCATTAATTAAACATTAACATCAGCAGGGAGGAAAAACTGTTAAAACAACAGCCAGCATATTACACTAACAAAGAACAGCTTATTTAAGCTTATAATAAATTAGTTCATGTAAAATTACCATACTTATGATATACTGTACTGTACATAGCATTTGTAAGCTGATCATATGACAAAGTACTCACATCCACTGTCTTCTTAGAGAGTTCTCCTTCAATTCTGGTAATATCTTCTTTATTCCCTTGGGTTAGCAATGCTTTATTTGTGTACAACTTCTTTAGAACCCCAAGTGCCTGCATTTGGCGAAAAACCTTGACTCCTGGGTCAAAACCACACTTCACTGCAAATTCTGCAATGGTCCACAATCCACCAATGTTAGAAGAACAAGGATCCAGGAATGCCTCAAGTTTGAGAGAACAAGATCTGAAAGGAAATTCAAACAAAAATTTAATGCAAAAATAACCTAAAGAACGTAAAGGAAGGATCAGCCATGAAATCCTGCAGGAGTGGTGACAGTTCAGCAGCTTCCTCCTATATAGGTCAATTTTGGTTTCCAAATCTCCCTTTAAAAAAGCAAAGGTTGCATTGGTGACAAATTCTAGGAAAGGCTAATCAAGCAGACTGGCTGTTGGCCACCAGTAACAAGTCTCTCCTAGGTCTGGCTAACCAATATACATGAGCCATCTAGCTAGAGGCTCAGTTATAAAATTAAATTTCAGGGTCAATCCTCAAATTCCAGCTCACAAAACAAATATAAATAAGCAACACAACAATAAACAAACTCACTTTTCAGCAAAGTAGCTCTCCAGGTGGCTTATGTAAGCTTGAGTGAGTGGATTGTTTGGTTTGTGGAACTCCTCTTCTAGGAGTTGGCGGCCACAGCGGAATAGAAATATATAGCATTCTTGCACCAAGGGACTATAGCTCTCAGGTACTGTAAAACACCAACATTATATGTACCACTCATATATGGGTTTAGTACAGTGATATAATGATTATACTCAAGGAACCTTACATATTGTCTCACCTATTACATAGATGTACTATAGAACATAGCACTATCAAAAATGAAAAAACTAATTTATCCTTGATGGTAATTAAAGCTTCAATACTACACTGCAGTGGAGTAATGACTGTAAGAGACCTAACACAATACCAATACTTACTCTCATATGCATTGTTGAAGAAGTTGTTAAAGGTTTCTATTAATGTATCAACGGTTGCATCTCCTACGCTGGTGAATTTCTGAATTTTCCCGAGCAGGTTTATACAGTGCCTGTTAGAGCAAAACTATATAAGGAACTATTTGGAAAAACATTTGCTGCATCAATTTTCCTCAGATATCAAAGCTAAGCCATGCTAGCTTGGTAAATTATCATAAAACAGTGATGGTGATGATGATGATAACAGGGTAAGGTATTGTTGAATTTTAGTAGTCAGTTTATAATTGATTTTTTTACAGGAGAATAGCACTCTTAGTATGCCTACATCACCTTACAAATGTATATATTCACTCTTTCTACTTTTCTTTAGCAGGATGAATTTTTCTTGCTATTTAAAAACAAGAATATCGTGTGAACTTTACCTGAGCCTACTCTGAAGGTCTCTCTGTCGGTGATCTTGGTCAGCAGTTAGGAGGGCGATGAAGAGTGGAGTAACTAAGTCCATTAAGAGGCCCATGTTGCAGGCTTCCTTGATGTACACATCTATCAGGTCACACACTCTGCACATAAGTAAATAAATCTTCTTTATTTATAGAATGAGAAGATTTAAAGCAGTTTACACACAAACACATTAGTACAATACCACTATGGATCCTTAACAACACAATTTAATATTCAGTATGTAAAATAAACTTCTCACACAACTCTTCGAATAGGTACAATGTGCTTTTACCTTGATCGGAAATTCATGAGGCTTTTTTCATCTTGTGCCAACTTGTCAAAGGCTCCTAACCTTTTGCCTCTTCGTCTGGCCTGGTATTCTGAAAACAGAGCACCCAGGCGCTTGTCTAGCTTATTCAATTCTTCCTCTGGAATGTCGTCAATATCTATATCCACCTGTTGAATAAACAATTACTTTATGAACACATCTGGGGAATTATTATCTTTCACTCACACAATAACTAGTACAGTGGTCCCTCGGTTAACGAGCGCCTCGGTTAACGAGTTACCTTCCATAAGATTCTTAACTTCGGTTAACGGGCAATCCCTCGATTAACGAGCTTCTTACGAGCGGACCTCAACATGTTTTCGCTTGTCTTTGGCGGTCCACCAGCTGTAGTATTAGTCCGCCAATACAGTAATCGGTTCTAGGGCTTAAATTCCTTACCATTTTAGCAAATATCAAGAAGTTTATACTATTCAATAATTTTAAAAGTTTAATATTAAATTTTTTAGTAATTTTAACAATTATTGAATATAATTGAAGACAATGAAACTAGTTTTATGCGCGCCATCCAGCCTCTCAACACACCATACAGGCGTCAGTCTTTGTGTCTTTTCAGTGGAGGTAACATCTTGCTTGAGACTCTCTTCAACTAAATGCTTTTTTCTGTGTTTGCAAGCAAATTATTGGTCATTTTGAAATTTATTTTACATATTGACAGTATATAATGCAGTGCAGTGTTGATTTAAAGAAAATAATCTTGAATTACACCAAGAGAACTAAAATTTTATGGGTGAAATGGCGCCATGGGGTGACTTCTCTTCCACCCCAATGCCTTCTCTTCTCCCTTCTCCTCCACCCCCATTCTAATTCCCATCATCATCATCATCATCATCCAGGAGCTTTCTACATACACACCTCAAAGTAAGTGTACTTTTCTACATTTTTTGTTGAATTTAGGCAATTTTTGGTGAGCTAGAACCAATTACCCAAAACCCATTGAAACAATGGTTTCGGTTAACGAGTTTTTCGGTTAACGAGCAACTTTCTAGAACGGATTGTGCTCGTTAACCGAGGGACCACTGTATCTGAAGTAAGACACATAATCAAAATAGTAGAAAACATATTAAACTGCAATATATCAATTAACCCTCTAAAGGGCAGCGGTACACTTAGGTATTTTATTCTGGCTGATGGCAGACAATTTTATTCAGTTGAAAGAAAACTCTGCCCTCTTAGGGGTTAACAGTACACTAAAAATATGAACTTATACTGTACACACCAAAGGCCTAAAATAATACAAATATGAGAGTAACTCCGTCTTTGCACAGTTCCTTATGACAAACAAGTTTAATTTTATAGTAATTTTCTCACAAACCATTTCACTAAAGCTTTAATTAGCCCAGGTGTGTGATGAAAGTATATACTTCAGAGCCAGGAAGCATCATCTAGAATGGTATTCACAAGAGTGGTTTCCCTTTGAGATAACTCCATAAGTGTACAGGTGTTATACAGGGCGATATACAACCTTAAAACTATTCACTCCTCCTCAGATTCCGAATCAAAGCCTGAAAACAAATATAATTCAAGATAGTGTGTTCTGAAGGACCAAGGACTTCGATTTTCTACTGGAATGCGAGGGGCAGAATTACAGTACTGGGCAGTCAAGAACAACTAAATAAATTTCTCTCTGTTTTCTACGAAGCTACAGGATATTCTATACTTTCTCTATTACACTTACATCACCATTCCCAGAGATTGACAACATTTTTTTCTTGATGTCAAAGATATTTTCATCATCCACATCCTCATTTTCATCTTTGTCTTCCAATTCTTCATCATCCTCTTCCTCCATTTTATCATCATCCTTTTCATCATCACTTTCTGAATCCTCAACATCACTTTCTTCCTTGCTGATGAGCTCACTTGTCTTGGATGGATCTAAGACGTCTGTGATGAGGGTAAGTGCAGTGGCTGTTATCTCAGGACACATTAACCTGTGGATGATAAAATTCAGAATACTGTACAGTAATTCAGTGCGGTTTCTAGATAGAGGTGTTGACCATCATGCAATTGATTGATGTATCATCAATCATGTTTAAGATGTTGAGAAATTAACACTAAATACCGCTATGCGATGACTAAAGCATTTTAGTGAACAAATAATGCTACATTAGGGCTGTCAGAAGGTCTATTAGGAAAAACTTGCCCAAATTGATGGTTTCAGCAGTGGCCGGAACCTAGCATTATTTTTTACAGCACTTTATGCACTTATATATGAACCATTTCACGCTTATAAGAACTCCTCTGGGATGCAAATTAACACAAAGACAGAAGTACTGTAGAGAGAATGACAACAAAACTAATGAGAGTCTGTGTTGCTTATGATTCTGGCCACCTTACACTCTACCAGGAAATGAATTACAAAAGGAGAGAGAACACTTACCAGAACACACCTTGTGCCATAGACCTGAATATTCGTTTCTCATGTGCCAAAAGACTTATTAACAGCTCAGTCACCACCTCCACCCAGTGTGGCTCTTCCAATCCATCCTCTGCTTTAGAAGCATTTCCTTTCTTCCAAGCACTTCCCTTTTTCATCACCTCTCTCTGGCAAGCATTAAGTTCATCGATAATATCTTTTGCTCCCTCAGGTTCAAAAAACAGGCGGAGAGCCATCTGGCCATACAAAACCTAAAAAAAGAGAAATCATTTTCTTAATACAATATCTTCCATTTTTGGGGAGTCGACATAAATACCCTAACAGATTTTGAATGAATCATATATGCAAGCTCCCAGGAACGTCACCCTCACATACAGTACCATTAATTAGTTCAGTAAAAGTGGTTATTTCCTCATCTCATAAAACATCAATAATACTTGTAACCCCACAACCTTACATGCCTTTCACCATCCCTTTATTATACCGCCCATGTTAACAGTGTATGAAAAAACTGAAAGTAATTAACAAATGTACTTCACTGTACCTGTACATACCTGAAACACTTGATTTGATATAGATGTCTGGTCTCCATCTTCAAAGATAAGCAACTTTCCAAGAATCTGAGACCACAAATTCTTTGCCTCTATGCTGAGAGGTGAGGTGCCAGTCGTCTCACATAACTGTAATTCTTTATCAGCGAAATTCACAAGGTTCAGCAATACTATCTTGTACTCTTTAATGTGTCCAGTTAGATGTGTAAGTGTTCTGAAAAAATATCACATCCTTTAACATATGAGCATTAGTAAATGGATGCAATATACAATATAATGTTCAAGATGACTACTTGAAGAAAGTTTGTTCTAAACCTTTTGTGACAACCTCCATGAAAGGATTAATTAGAGCTAAATTATAAACCCTAGGTATTCTATATTGTTAACACCTCATTAGTTCTGAAAGTAAATGAGACAATACTAACACAGGTAAGTAGAGAGGTAGTTGAACAGGCAATTAGCTGTAAATAATTGAATAGTGAAGTAAATCAAGCAAAATTTAAATCTACAAGAACTTACTTAAAGAAAGCATCTCTAAAATCCTGTATAAGGTCGGCTGGACCTGGAGTGAAGAATGCCATCTTCATCAGAACCATCAGCTGCTCAGCCCTCCATGTGAGATGATCTGCATTGGTCACCTTAGGATGCATCACCAGGTTTGTCAATGTATGTGCTGCAAAGGTCTGATCAGCAGGCTTCACTTTTGGAATTTGCTGAAAGGATTAACAGCAATTCAACTAAGAGCAATGATTCCATTTAAACTTATCTTTCTGAAAGAATGTGACAAAAAAGTACATACAATTACTGAATTACCCTTCTAATAATCTTGATCAGGATTTTTGCTAGGCCTTTGATAGTAGTCAAGGTATAATTAGTTTTCATTTGTGTCAACAACTTTGTTCCTGTCAGATGATCAAATCGCACACTGCCCGGAGGAACGATGAGTTTCTTTACAACAGTCAACTGTACATCACTGAAATGAAAAAATCCAAGATGATAATAAAGTAATAAGTATAAATCTAAAGTAAGACAAGAAATTACTTTGGAGGTTCTGAAACAGAAACACTGACTAACTCTGTATGTTGAAAAGTTTGCAAATGAAACAACAAATATTAAATTATTATATAATTTCATTTCTTAAAGAAAATAAAAATATAATTATTGGAGGATTTATCCTAAAATATCATTTACAATGAAGCCTGAAGAATATCACTCGAGGATAAGCTGTCACCTTCTGGAACCCAGAGAAGCCCTAAGATGAACAGCTGGGATAGCTAGCAAAGATCACTCTGGGCTGAATAAAATATCACAAGTGGTGTCCCTGTAGTGAAGGAGTTAACCATTCTCAACTGAGGCGTGTTGCATATATCCAAGCTTATTTATAGAGATTAAGGTATTCAATGAACTATTCCCAACACTAACACCCATAACACCAGTACAGTAGTAACCTATCCCTATGCCAAGTACTTAATGATGCTATTCCCTATAATAATGAAACAGTGACACATACCTGTCCTCATCTTGGTTAGCAGTAACCAGCTGAAGCAGTGCTGATGCAAGACCTCTGGCAGACAAACTAAGGTCTTTATCATATCTGGACACAGAAGTCAGCAACAACACTACCATGGAGGTAGGAAATACAGCATCTATCTCAGATCCTTTTTTCAGTTTAGGAAGAATTAACTGTAATAATAAAAAAAAATCTGTACTATACTGTATGTGTAAATCTGTATACAGGGGCCCCCCAAATTCATGGGGGTTAGGTTCTCAAAATGGCCTCGAATAACCAAATCTGTAAATAACATTTGCAGACTGGGGGTGGGGGTACATTTTATTTGCCTACCCTCAAGTTCGTGCTTTATTACTTTATTAATAAAGCATGGACTTGAGGGTAAACTGTCACATTTTTAATAAATTTGTTTCTGATTATTTGTGAGAGGATTTTTCCAATTATTATTTATTTGTTTGTGTTTTGTGTGTGTTTTGTGTGTGTGTGTGTAGACACACACACACACATATTTATAATACAGGTAAAGGAAATTACTGTCTCTAGAACGAATGGCTCCCTGTCCCAGACACGAAAATGCAGGCAACTTTAAAACTACCCACAGACATTCTTGGGTACATCTAGGGTGTCATCCGCAAATAATAGAGGCCTGCAAAATAAAAATCCGCAATGTTGGGGGGGTGTGCCCCCTGTACATAACATTCCTGTTATTGAGGTCTAGGAAGTGAACAGTTACTATCATATGTACATAAGTACTCAATATCATATACAGTATGAACAATTTTGAATGTGAATATTATTTCGATCACCTCCAACTTTGGGATGTGGCTTAAAATCGAAGGCCAAGAACCTTTTGCATGAATTGTCAAAAACTCACCCTGCAGCATAGAATTGGGGGCAGCCCACATTTGCCAAAATATTGTAAACTCTATATTATTTCTACTGATAAATGAATTGAAGTTTTTACCAAACTCTGAAAAAAAAAGAGAGAGAGAGAGAGAGAGAGAGAGACTTTTTGGCACCTAAGTAGACTGGGATGAAGCAGGGGTCCTTAACAATCCTGGGTTGGGGAAGTATGGCAGTAATTCAAAAGATACTCTGTAGTATGCAGTGGGTTAAAACTGTAGGAGGGTACAATCATTCAATGACATGTGCTAGAAATATAATAATCTAAGTTCCTCCAAATCATACAACTCTTAACTGACACTAAGAGCATCAATTGACAAGTTTTAAGACTAACCTGTAAAACAATGAAGAGCAGCTGCAATTTTTTAGTTGAGGGATGTTCCAAACATGGTGCTAGTCCCTCACACCAAAACTTTACCAGATGTGAATTTGTGGTGCGGTCATCAGGTGCCAGACCAATTACAACCTCTTCTAACAGTGGGTGAACCATGGGCAGTGCTGTTAACGTTTCCTGAAACAAGTATTACAGAATACAATATTATAAAATTTATAATACCTTACTTTCATTAACCACTCCAAAATTTTAATGTATGCTTTACTCTGTATTTAGTACAACATCCAAAATTTTGAATCATTTATCTGAAATTCTCAGAATGCAGCACAGAAAGGTACCAGAAGGCATCATGAATTACAGGAGCTTCAACTAATTTGTAATGGTTTGCCTGTAAGGGAAAGATACGACTGAAAAAAGTTATTATATTGGAACATGAAGATTAATTCTAAGGGGCTTTGGAAAGATGTAGATGCTTCTGTGTGATGAAGTTAATGATAAACATATACTGTAGTGCAAGTGCTGTAAATCCCTTTATCTTTTCATAATATAATAATATTCCAGAATGCAAGAAATTTTTATGTCCAGGTCTGCATTTCTATTTTCCTAATAAATTAACATTGGGAGATTGATTTGCTAGAGATTGAAGCCTTATAGAACCAAATAACATTCTCTACTAAGGGCCTAACTATACAGCTATTTGAATTATGAACAAAATCAGTGTAGTTTCACCATACCATTAAAATCTGGCCAATAGCACAATAATTCTTGGGGTCTAAACTTGAGTTAAGCCACACTGGGGGCTTGTACTTGTGTGTCCTCAACAGCACCAGGCGCAACCACAGAGAACTTGGGTTTAGCTCCTCTACCGGTGCTGATATTTCTTTCTCTAAGTGGTTCCAAAGATTCTTGAATGTGACACTTCCTTCACACTGAAATAAGTATGGATATTTGGCTGGATTAAAGAGGGAGAACAGTACAGGTAGACTCCTTACTTGGTTGTTTGTTGGCTACAATAAAAGTTGATTGTGTTGAAAATTGTAATGCATGACTTCACCTCATCAAAACGAATTCTTCTTCTTTTTTCATGTGAAAGAGCAATCAGTTGTACAAAGAATATAGTTAGTTTTATGGAACAAAGTGAAACTGTTGACAAAAAATCGACCTAAAGAAAAAATACCATACAATGTGCCTCTTCCGTGCAAGGTCACAACTAACCCATGCATGGTAGGGGTAGCTGCTATAAATAGGGCGGCATGTGAGTGTTAAGAAACGGGATATTTAAAATCTGTAAAACTTTGGATAAATTATAATTAGTCTTAAATATTTAGAGAATGAAATCATACAATGGGATCGCTCTTTTTAGTTGTCATACATTATAAAAGTGATGTTAGGTTAGGAAACTGATAAGAATACAGAAGACTAAAGAAACACTTACTTTCTCTACAAGGTTGACCAAAAACTGGGTTGCTATAATATCCATATAGGATTTTATTTTTCTTATTTGCAGCAGCCGGGAGATGATCTTTGATTGCATATCAGAATGGTAATTAGCTTGACCAGACCGGATCAGGGCTCCAAAAGTCAGAAGTTCTCCCAAGATCTTGTCCTTAATTTCCTACATGCATAAATTTTTTTTTAGTAAATTCTAAATAGATAACATTCAATATAAGACAAATTAATAAATATTTGGCAAGCATTACACGAGTACACATATACTGTACACACCAAGAAACTAGCCAGTCAGTGTTTTTATTAAACATGTCTAAGTAATAAGTATATAGGCACATGTACTGTATATAAAAAGCAAAAATGATGCAAGTTAGTGTAAACCTATATGTCTCCTCGGGAGCCTGCCTCAGATAAACAAGAAGCTACTAAAAAAAAATTGGTTCAATAAAATTACTGTAAGTACACATAAGAACATAAGGAGTCTGCAATAGGCCGGTTGGCCTGTGCATGGCAGCTCCTGTCGAGAGTTACTACCACTCTCTATCATCCATGAATCTATCTAGCCTCCTTTTGAAACTTTCCAGCGTTCCAGCACTTACTACAAAGTTGCTAAGCTTGTTCCACTCGTCTACCACCCTATTTGTGAACCAGTTCCTTCCTATCTCCCTCCTAGACCTAAACTTATCCAACTTAAATCCGTTGCTCCAAGTCCTATCCTGCTCGGATATTATAAGAACTTTATCTATATCCCCTTTATTGATTCCTTTCACCCACTTAAATACTTCTATCATATCTCCCCGCACTCTTCGTCTTTCCAGGGAATGCAAGTTAAGTTTCTTTAACCTATCCTGATATGGAAGGTTTCTAAGTCCCGGAATCATTTTCGCCATTCTTCGCTGTACCAACTCCAGTGAATTGATATCCATTCTATAAAAAGGGCACCAGAACTGAACTGCGGCCTGACTAGCGCAAGATATAGTTGCAATAAGACCTCTGCACTCTTGTTACTTACACTTCTAGATATAAAACCCAATACTCTGTTTGCCTTATTTCGAACATTAAAGCACTGTTTTCTAGGCCGTAGGTCCGGGCTTACAAGTACCCCAAGGTCTCTTTCACAAGTCGACTTCTCTAGGTTGATGTTGTTAAGGCTGTATACATTGTCAGTATTTGTTCTACCAATATTAAGTACGCTGCACTTGCTGGTGTTGAATTTCATTTGCCATTTTTCAGACCACCCCTGCAGTTTATTTAGATCTTCCTGTAATGCATGTACTGTATACTGTATTCCTCTACAGTATTACCTGAACACAGTATAATTAACACACACATCAGAACACAGGTACAGTGTAAACACAGTATATTAAGTTACTGTACACCAATACTCACATATTTACTGAATGCTCTGTTTTTACTCCAATTCTCTGTAACAGTGTGGAAGGTGACAGGCACAGTAGAAGGCTGAAGCTGAAGCAAAGCCTGAAGTGTCGTGTAAAAGCCTTCTCGTGCTCTTGGCCTATTTGACATTAACCCGCTCACCAGCCGAAAAACAATATACGAAATATCACCAGGCAGCTCACCCTCCTGTAAAAGAAATTAAAATATTGACAAAAAACCAGGATATATGGTAAACAAAACCGGGTCCGACTAATTACCCAAATGTAGCCGCAATGAAGTCAAATAATGGTCCCACATGAATAAATCGGACTGCCAATCACTTCTCGACTAGTATTTGATGGTCACAAAAAACTGGTAAACTTAATTTAATCTGAGTTAATAGATCGAGTGCATGTACCTAACCTAACCTAACCTAACTCAGATTAAATTAAGTTTTCCAATTTTTGTGACTTTATGACACCAAATAATAATCGAGAAGTGATTCACAGCCCGATTTACGCTTGTAGGACCATCATTTTACTTCATTGCGGCTACATTTGGGTAATTAGTCGGACCGAACAAAACCTGTTGTTGGATCTAGCACAGTTTTCTTTTATGATGTTTCCCTCACAAATGACTAAACCTACCTAACCTAACTGCCCCCAGGGCACATAAAAATCATTTGTGAGGGAAACGTCAGAGAAAAAAGTGTCTGAGAATTAAAACTAATTATTACAAAAATAACCAGGTGTAGTACCTGGAGGATACCTGTCATGTTTGGTAGAGGTCACACTTGATAACACTGTTGGGGCCAAGCAGGACTCCCACCCCATGACACTACAGTGACCGTTGCCTCTGTACAGCCAAGTGATTCAAGAGAACCCTCCCTTAAATTCAGCATTAGTTATACTCGCCTGTAAATTTAAAAATGGGAACAGATATAATATAAATATATTAACGTACTAATGTCTGTAAGACAGATGAATCCTATTGAAACTTAATACAAACCAATCTTACATTGTGATTCTGAAGACGGGTATCCACATGTTTCAAGATTACAATAGAAGCGGTTGCTTGTTTCTGCATATCTTCACCCACTAAATTTCCAAATGAATCACGGACATAGACAGGGAGTTCAAATGTTGGTTTGCCCGCCTTGTGGTCCACCGTGAGGCGGGTAGCGAGGGCCATGCTGCTACACTCACTCACTCTTGTTTACAGCAGGAACATGTGAGCCCTGCCGTCTGCCGGGCCTAGGCGAGTAACTATATACAGTCAGTTAGTTATAAAATATGACGACAATAATAAAGTATTTCAAAATTATCTATTTTATTTCATCACGGTATATAATCAGGAAAGATTCAGGGCTGTATAAAAGAATATAACATCCAGGGACTTGGGAGCTACTTCCTATGAACATACAGGGATCGACTCTCTAAAGGACACCATCATGATCATACTGTACTGATAAATTGACTTGGAGAATTCTAAATAAAGACCTCAGGTTCATGTGTCCGTTTCTAAAATATTAATTTTCACTAAATCGAGCGATCTAGCAGCTACAGAACACACATTTAGAGTTTTGTAAGACGATATGACACCTTAATCAATTGTAGTTGCCCAGTCGTCTCTCGAAGATAAGACGTTTGGAGTTACAATACACTTAACGTCAGAAAATGTTAATAACACAACATTGATTGAATTACATATAACATGGATATTAACTGTTTCTACTGGTAGGTGTGTCGCAGCCTTGGGGCCGTAATGAATCAAATAAAAACTTTAGCGTAAAAGCTGGCGCCAGAAATAATCTTTAACTATTTGTATAATAATGAAAATCACATTAATGTTAATTTAGTTTGTGATCTCTTAAGGCATCTGTGTACATAATGTATTGTGAAAAAATAGCGTTCTTATAATAACATAATATTGCTCAAGTAATATTGAAGTTATCGCAAATTAATTTTGACTCCAAAACCCTCATTGGTCTAGTTTTTCAGAGAATCATAGAATAAACCATATTTTTTGGTAATATGATGTAGAAGACTTTGGTCTCTTAAATCTTTAGCATACTATATTTCATAAATTGGATAAACTGGAATTAGTAGATGATTTACTAACCGGAAAAAGGCATTATTTGGCTTTCAATATTTTTTTTATTCAATATTTGTATACAAAATAAAATGTTCTATTCCTTTCCTGTCCAAATAGAATTTATTTGAAATTACAGTTTAAGTCGTTTGTCATGATGGAAGAAGACAGTTTAGGCCGGTAGGTGCTGGCAGCAGGAAGGAGTGTTGCCTGGGGTGAGGACGTAAACACTGTGAGTCACCAACACCATCTACACTTCTCATTTCCACCGGTAACTCTATTTTAATAATTACTGACATTTCAAGAACGTTATTGCTCAAGGAAATTACTTCAAAGTGGCTGATAATTAGTGATTTTAATCAATCGTGTTCGTGCTTGAAACACAAGACAAGTGTCAGTACTGTACACACCTTTTTCAATAAAGTTATGTTATACTAAAGGCAGCATTGTTTTAAGCTTCATATATTTTTATGAAATCCATTTAAATGACTTATCATTTTAAAGAGATTTTGAAATTTATGGTGTCATTCATAGTGCTGTACAGTATTGGGGTAAACTTGTAGAGTGGCCAATGCTTCATTGTAAGAATTTTATTAAACTTATCCGAATACGATTGCTACTGTTTGTATTGGTGGCCACAACTGTTAATCATGGAGAAATTGGTTAATTGAAAATGTTATGAATAATTCACCCTTATTTATGCATTATATTAAACATTCTCATTTCACGATATATCCAATGGAAAATAATAATAAACATTTACACAAATTAGCAAACTGTTACATCATCAATTGTCTGCACACTTGATGCTAAATTTAAGCCCAACAGCAAGTAATCCTTTGGTCTTCTGATGAAATAAGAAAATTCAGTTAACATTTATGGCCACCCTGCAGTAAATGAGAAAAGGTTTGAAGTGCAACTATACAGGAAAGAGGAACACTTGAATAATAATTACTGTACTGTATAAGTATAAAATTATTCCTAATTTTTAAAACTTTTCTCTTTTTAAGGATCTAAATGGTGATGGTAGACTAGAGTCGAGTTAACAGGACTTGTAAGATCATAAAGCAAGTAGGTGAAGACACAAATTTGAAAAACCACCTTTACTACGTCTGGAAAGCGAGTGATTTTCCAATTATCAAGACTCGACAGATAGAGACCTGCACATTGGATAGACAAGGAAGTTATTCTGTGCGATAAATCTTCTGAATTCTTTCCAGTGTTTGATAAGCTATAATGGCATCTGGTGTAAACGTAGCAGATGGGGTCCAACAGGCTTATGCCAAGATCAAAACTGGGATGAAATATAGGTTTCTCATTTTCTACATAAAGGATGACAAGGAAATTGATGTGGAGAAGTTTGGTGAGAGAGAGGCTCAATATGACGACTTTCTAAACTATCTTGCTAGCTTGGGTCCAGATAAATGCCGTTATGGTCTTTATGATTTTGAGTATGAGCACACTTTCCAGGGAACATCAAATACTAAAATGAACAAATTGGTCCTGATGTCTTGGTGCCCTGACACTGCCAAAATTAAGACAAAGATGCTTTATTCTACCAGCTTTAATTATCTCAAGCAGGCTCTAGAAGGCATTGGTAAATGTATCCAGGCTACAGATATGTCCGAAGCATCTTATGAAAGTGTGCTGGAGAAATGTAGTGCTTCAGACCGATCTTAAGTTTGTCATGGGATGCCCTTTTAGAATTCATGTTTCAACAATCACATCACTAATGGAATGCTGAAACCGTGGCCAACCCCACAGCATGATGAGGGTAACTCTGAGCACCACTTGCACATTCTTCTTGCATTACTTTTCTTGGCTTTTCCACACCTGATATTAAGCTCTTTGGTTAGCATCAGGGTGACTCGCTTTATTCTTATGTTTGTTGTTTTTATTTAAACTTGATTGTTTAATACGTTGGTGGACCATAACAGTTGTTCACCTCAAGCTTTGGGATACTGTATATGGGCAACTGCTTTTGTTTTGTCCATATTAAAAAAAAAAGCATAAATATATTCTGCATAACCAAATGTGCATATGAATCCCATCTTGTACCATCCAGTCTGCTACTGTAAAAAAATGATTGTTTTCATTGTTACATTGGTTCTTGGTGGCAATCAATCAGCACACAGTTTCTGGCTCAAATTAAGCTTGACCTCGCATGTTATTCTCTGGTCCGGTGTTATTAGAATTTATAACCTTACTGTTTAGTGGCATACCAGTGTTATTCAGCTTGTTGAGTTGGCCCAAAGAAGTTAAATAATTTATGAGGATCTTATCTCTCTACTATATGCCATATTGACATGAATGCATCAACCACCACTAGTTTTCATTGATCATAATAATGGGATTAATTTCATAAGTATTCCTTGACTGGTTTATTCTTTTTTACTTTGCAATATTTTTCTAGTACAGTACATGGACTGTTACTATTATGGAAATAAATCTTGCTGGGATTATTTTATATGGTCATATGGAAGGATGATTTTCAACATGTCAGCTGATATATTTCATTTATAATCATTCCATTTGTTAAGTTCTTTAAGGATAATCTTGGTATAAATAATTCTTCAACTTGTCTAATATATATAAATATATACGTACTGTATACAGTTAATCATTCCATACGTAAAGTTGTCTATTGATACATTCACTTAACATCATTCCTTATTTTCATATAGTGGGTATTGCAGTAAAATGTACATAATACTTGTATCACATACATTCCATAACTTTAGGAAATAAAAGATAGGTAAACCCATGTATAAAATGTGTGCAGTCATAATGGCAAAATCAACACAAAACAATGTGGACTAATTTTACAGGTACAGTATGTGCTCTTGTGATTGGTATGAAAATGTGTTATGGTAGCTACAGGTTTGTTGGCATTCCTCATTGTAGCAGCTAAAATATTATACCAAAACTGTGATAGGATTTTTGCCAACATTCCTCACTGTAACTGCTAAAGATGTTTTACAAATGTTTACTGTAATACTTACATGAATTATCTAGTTTCAGGATTTAAGGAAATAAGTTTTATTATAGATTTTTGTGTGCACATATATTTTGGCACTTCACATCAGTGTGGACAGTATTTGAAGATTTGGAAGGAATAAAAAGTTGATTGCCTCTACTGCATTTTGTTTCTTCCTTTTCTGAGGGAAAGTGAAGACAAAGAAGTATGGAGAGGAATAAGTTATAATTCTCCAAGTCAGCTGATCTTATTTTTTTATCATGTTCATTAAATTCAGCTTAAATTAATGCTCTGGGGTCACTCCATAAGTTAGGCTGGTTAATTACTTAATTCTCTTCTGCCAGGTAGTGTATAGATATACAGTAGGCTGTGATGGGTGACTGTGACAGACTATTGTTCCGTCATAATCTTGGTGAAATATTGAACATTAGTCCTGTGGTTTAGAACTTATAATGGAAGTTAGTTTTACTGTTTGTGAGAGCAATGAGTCCTGGTTAGGTTTAGATAATTATCCCTGGTCAGGCACAAATAGTCGCTCTCCTAGTTTTATGACCTACCAGTTTACTTACTTATTTCATTATTCCCAAACATTCATGATGTTATTAAGTCTACAAATACTGTAACCTTTCAGTAAGATACTAATCTGCAATCTCCATACAGTATAACTTACTCCTCACTCACATGAAGATAAATGACTCATCGCTCACACAAACATAGTCACCCAGCCAGTTGCCTGATAATCCAATTTTTTCTCATTTACTATCATGTAATATGTGGAAAATTACATATAAGGAAATTACTCTGTATTTTTAATTGTCATATATCGTAGTATAGTTCTGTACTAATGATGTACAGTACAAGGAATGTCATTGAAAGATGAGTGGAGATGTGGATTGATGGTATCACAATATATTAACAAATTACTGCACAGTATATCTTTCCAAAAAATTGGGATAAAGATATGATCACATTCTTTGGCACATAAACCTTTCTTACCCAATTTGATGTAAGTTAGTATAGAGCTTGCAAAACCATTATATTTTAATTATATTTTCATTCAACCAAATACACTACACAAACTGAATCTGAATTCAAATCAGAATGTGAATCTGCTACAACACTAAGATCCAACTGAGACGGCAGAGTACCTGGAGAACTGGAGTCCTGGCCAGACTCGAGAACTTGCACGGCATAGGCAGCTTCTGAAGTTAAGTCTTCAGACTGTAAAGATTGTGGCATGGGGCACGTCTCTACACTAAGGGACTCCAGTCCACCCTGTTGACTACAAGACACTATTTCCTGCTGAGTCAAATATAATGTTGTTAGGTCTTCCTTGGAAACAGCTTCAGAGTCTGTCCATACAAGATCATGTCCTCCACTTGAGGCTTCTTTAAGATGTAATGCTGAATTCTGCTGACACTGCTGTCCTTTTTTCTTGTGAGGAGGCCTTCCTACCCGGTGGTGGCTCAGTAAATCACTGATATATGGAGTGAGGCCCGGTGGTATGGGGATACCCGAGGGCTCAACTTTAGGTACAGTAGTAAACCCGTGTGTGACGTGATGTGCTCGTACCTGATGGGAACAAAGAATACTGTCAAACTTATGGGACATAAAGCTCGAACACAGGCCTCTTTTTTTTCTTTAATGGAAAAAAATACACTCATTACACTCTAAACAATTTCATTAAGAAAACAGTAACACATCAAGGTGTCTAACAACAAAATATTTGAAAAGGGATACAAGGTTTGTACCTCACCCTCAGCCTGACAATATTTGCACTTTCAAAGCTTTTGTATTGCCTTGTTTTTACACCTAAAGCCTAATGTACTCAAGTAATAAGGAAGCACTCCTAAAAAAACTGACTTCTATGGGCAATGATGGAGAACAGAGTGAAGGTATCTGTGAGAATACTAATGTAAATTGTGTAGCCCAGTTTGTATTATTTGCCTTTCTTTGTGTAACAGGATTATAGAAATATAATATACTGTAGATAACAAAAAAAATATTTTAAAAGCATTCTGACTACAATTAAAAGTGCCTGGCAAATAACTAGTAATAAATGAAGTGTGAATACAAACACAGAATAATTTCATCAATGGGAAACAGGAGGCCATTGGGAATGTTATTTTCCTTCAACAAATGTAAATCTTTCATTATGCAACTTTCAATTGTGCTCAATGTTTAACATTCAACAACTCATGAAACAACGATAAACATCAATACAGTACTATACATGGTAAAATTAGTCAGTCGGTAAACTCAAGATGGAAGTACACCTAAATAATTTATACAACTTACCTCACTTTGCCCAATACCAGTGAAGTTACAGTAACCACATTTGTAAGGTTTATATCCATAGTGACTGTAGAGGTGTCTTCGTATAGTTGAGGTATGCTTCTGCAAAATCTTGAGGCAAATTGGACACTGGAAGGGTGACTGCCTCTGCAGTGAGCTGACCATAACCTCAGATGAACTACTAGCAGAAGTGGTTGGGTTATATATGGGTGTCTTTGGCTTCTTTATAGATGAACTCAGTTTCTCCATGGTACTGTTGCTTGAAAATGTTGATGTGTTTGTTATTGAAGTCTGTGAATTACTAGCTGTACTTAAACCAATAGATTCACTGCCTAAAGACTGAAAACTATTGTCCTTTTCACCTTCAGTTTCTGGTACTGTGCTGTCATTCTTGTTACTTAAATTAACAGCAGCATTCTCTGGTGAGAGCTTCAGTATCATACACGGGCTGCTAGGATGACAAAAAGTATTATGAACTCGTATTTTACTCTTTTCAATGGACCTATATGAACAGTATCCACACTGAAAAGGCTTGATATTGAAATGCTTTTTTGCATGCTTATAAAATGCTCGATATGTTGTAGTTGTACCACATTCACGGCACTTTACTCGCCCACCTTTCTTCTCTTTCATCATGAGCCTAACTTTTTCCGAACAAAAATAATCATTATTGCTGTAGTCCAGACCAAGAAGGTCACGTGTCATAACTCCCGGTGTGGCAGAGATGTGGTTACTGAGGCGCTGTACACGTGAGTCTGTGAGAAAGGCAATATGAGTATAAAGATTATTCTCTAATCCCTCAGTGGGGACAGTTACCAGTGATGCAGTCTGATGATGATTTGTTTGATTTCCACACTCATCAACCTTTGAAGATTTCTCAGATATGTTTTTTATCTTGGAACACTTGGCTGCCTTAACCGCATCACTACCACTTTTTAATAACCCTGCAGACATACAACTGGTGGTCATAGAATGTGATGAATTTTGTTTGTTGCTATCAGAATACTTCTGTGCAGACTCTTCTACTTCATTAGACACTGAGCAATGTGTAATTTTCTCTAATCTCAAATTGTCTCCATCTGTAGCAAATAAATCAATAATAACAGTCTTCTCACTTATATCACTAATTTCAGATACACTGAGATTAACACTGCAGCGTGTGTCTTCACTCTTACAGTGATAAGAAGTCAATATATTACTCTCCGGTTGTAATCTTACTTCCTTGTCACAAGTTTGTATTTTGTTATCTCTTAAAACAGTCTTTGTTTTCATAATTCCTAACTGAGTTTCTTGGCTGAGCTTAAAAGTTTTAAGTTTAACAGGTAAGTTGCCTTGAAATAAAGGTGTTTGTTTGAATATCTGTGCTTCACCTCTGTGTAGCTGCTGATCACTCTGCTCTTCATAACAAAATGTATTTAGTGAAGATCCAAAGTTAATTGTTTCACCAGTTTTTCCTTTCATAACCTCATCACTAACTCTTGGGGGGATATGAGTTTCAGGAATCTCCTCCAAATTGCTCATAAAGACATTTTCATTTCGGTTTGCTGTTGGTACATTTCTTATTTGGTATGACGATCCTCCTGCAGTTACTGTTATGTTGTGAGGTGGGCATGTCATCTGAAGCTCTCCTATAGGCTTCAAATTCTTCTTAGGTGAACTTCTAGGACTGGGTTTCCCTGACATCTCATTCCTACGCTGTTTTTTGTCTTGATCCTCACACAATGAAAGTTTCTCTCTGGCTTTAATACCAACACTGTTTTCAGTTCCTGTTAAGGCTGGTGGTACATTAATTCCAACTGAGGATTCATTTTCCTTTATCTTTTTATTAAATCTTGAATCATTGGACGTTCTAGATGAGAAGTCTTCCACCTGTGATAAAGTAAATTTTTTGTCTAATTTTACTCTTGATTGTAGAGACAAAGAACAAGTACTTGTAGTGAGGGAGCCGAGTTCTTCTTCCCCTTCATCATTGCCGCTCATCCACTCACACTTCTTATTTTTTCTTGATGAATAGCGATAAGGAGCCTTGAAGTCCTTGTCATTTTCGATAACAGCTTCCTTACCCTGAAATATAAGGCATTTCATTATCATCAATAACATTTTATGGCTATTTTCCACACTCCACCACAAACCCAGATGGAAAATCAGACTTCCCCTTTCAAAAAAGAAAGTCTAATTGAGGAAAGAGACACAGTTGGAAAGTGCAGCAATAAAGACTGAGTGTTTCTGTGAGTGCTGTGGAGGTTATGAATGTTGTTTTTGATCATCACTGTTATATATTTTTAAATTGATGGACAGTATACTCTGCAAACACCTTCAAATACATTGAACTAATACTTTACCTTATGAACTTTTGAACAATGGTTACGAACAACATAGACCTCTCTAGCATGGAAGTCACAGTAACCACATTTAAACGGCTTGTCACCTTTATGGAGTCGTAGATGACGGTTGTATGAGGAGTTATAGTTACAGGTGTAGTCACAGTGAGGACACCTGTACTGACGCTTCTGCAACAAATAAAATCAAAGAAACTAATAATAGGAAACTGTAGTATAATGTTTATGACAATACAATATACTGTATGATCTAGTACATCCCTGGTCGATCAAAACAAAGACGCTACAATTATCTGGTAACCGGCTTGTGCACTTACACACATGGGAAGCACATTAGGTGAACAGTACTTTCCTAAACTAAACTTTTTGTGAATAAAACAGGTAACTGAACTTTCCAGGTAACAGGTAACATGACCTTTAAATAAGAATTAATAACCTTTAGAAGAACTTACCCATTTTCCTTGTTTTTTAGGTTGGCGGACTCCATACTTGGCTGTAACCAATGTTAAATAGGGTTTCACATCCTCCACTAATGCATTACTTCCATTCTTTTCCAGCAAGACCTGTACTCAAGAGCCCAAGAAACATTATTAAGCAAAGAGGGATAGAAGGCAGATTACACAATAACATATACTGTATCATAGGAATTGGGCGATTAAGTTAAGAAGGTGTACAAAACAAATGAGTCAGCTGCACCACTCCATTCTAACAATCAATTCAATCAACCTTTTGCTCCCATCATTGATTACCCAAGTTTAGTCTCATTTTTAAGAACATAATCCTGTTTCCTGTAGCAAGAATTTCAACATGTACACAATATTAAAAGTACTATACACCATAAATATTCTTAAATTACTGTGCTATGGTTCTGCCTGTGTACTGGGGAAACACGAGACAAAATAACTTTATTACCTCCATAACCCAGACCTCTGATAATGACCAATAACTATAGACAGCAGCTTCACTATGTTTCATATGTTTTTCTTTATGTAAAACAGTGTTAAATATACTTACAGTTTGCGATTGTGGTATCTCTGTGGGATGTCTGCGCTGATAGTGACTCTTAATTTGGGCTGGTAAAGATGTGGTAAAAGGGCAGAGAACACAGCGTTGCTTTTCTCTGCTGTGGTGACTAATGTGTTTCTTGAGGTTAGCGAGTGTCTGGTGAGTAATGGTACAGTAGACTGATTTTTTTTAATACTTGTGATAGCATAAAATTCCCTTAATTCTGTTTGTCTTTTCTTACACTAATGTATATTCATTCACATTTATTCAGAGTACAGTATAGTCATTCATATACTGTACAATGTATATATAATTTATTCACATCTATTTACAGTATATCCACTTATATGGGGTGACAGTACATGGTGTGTGATACAATAGAACAGAAACAAACTTAAGTTAAAGAAGTTACAACATATCATCATCCTGACCTTGAGACCTCTTCCACACACTGGACATATCATACTGCCAGTCTGAAGTTTGTCATCCTCATCATAATCCTCACCACTTCCTCCCTCATCATCTATCATGGGTATCATGGCCAGACCTGGTTATATATGAGGATTCTTATTATTCTGTGTCCATGAATCATGTCTATTAGTAAGCCAAATAAGAAGAAAAAGATATATAAAAATTCATAAGAATAAAATAACAAAAACCAAAAGAAAATACAAGACAAAATTCAAATTCATTTAGCTTAAGCTGCTTTATCTTCTTCCTTCCATCCTTCCCTCCCTTCACAGAACCACAGATATTACAGGGTTTAAGAACTAAATTTACTCTGAGAAATAGCTTTACAAGTCCCCTTAAAATATTATACCACAGTAAACAGTCACACCTGGTTGGTCGTTTTCAGCCAGCAGGCGAGGAATGTCGATGATGTTGTAGTTTGAGGTACCGTGTTTATTTCGAATGTGGTGACGAAGTTGGTTGTAGTCCTGGCCGAGAAACACACAGTATCCACAGTGCAGGGGAAAGAAGGACCTGTGAGCGTTACGTATGTGCTGAAAATGTAAAAATTCTTATTCAGTTTCACATGCAAGGAATCACTAAATTTACAGCATTACATTATAAAAGTAGACCCTAATTTACAAAGCAGCACTATACATTTTCCAACTCTAAGCCAGAGATAATTTTGAATAAGTTATGAATAAATCTAAAAGGATAAAATGGTTCCTTAGGAGGAGTTACAAACAGCCTGTATCTTTTCCATGTGTTATCACTATTGAACTTCCCAAAGGACAACCAGAAATCCTCCTCAGATTCTATACAAACTGAGACTAACTAGTAGCCCCATCTGACACAGACTGAGAATCACTCTATCTTTATTCTCAGGACTACCTAACAATCACCATTCTACTCTCCTCAGAAATAAAAACTTTTCTTTCCATGTCCCATCTTTCAAAAAGAATGAATACAATGTATAATTAATCAGAGATGGCTAATTTTCACCAATTAGGCAGCCTTTCAAGGAAGAGCCAAAAGCAGAATATTCAGTTATCCAGGTGATCCCCTTGCTAAAGGGCTTAACATTTCGCAATGATAACTTATGGCTGAGCCTTAAGCGCTACTACTCATCAGTCTCCGACCTTAAGGGGTGACTTCTTGGAATGGGAAGATATAAATAATGAATGTATTAGTCCCACCAGATAATGATTAATTACCTGGGGTTTCAAACTATAGATCCAGTTAGTAAATATGTGATTCACACAGTCCAGACATTTGGACATAAAAATACTCAATTAAAGCCACAAAAGTAAATGAAATAATACCTGTAATACATAAACATAAAACACTTAAATGTTGGAATTTTACTGACCTTAAACAAATGAGTTCGCTGAAGCCTGATATTACAAATAGGACAGCTTCTTCCTCGTGCCTGGTTACCCAATAGCACCACAACAACAGCTTCTGAATGGTCATCCCAAGATGCAATATGGAGCTCCACATCACTGCGACTTCGGCTCACCATTTCACAAAGGGAACATTTGTATTTATGTTGTTCAGTCTTCAGCCCCAATTCATCTAAAGATATGGACAAAAGTCTGTCAAATACATCCCAACTGTTACATTTGAATCATACAGAATTTGCATTAAAACATATACTAATCTTTAAATTAATTTTTTTGTAAGTCCATTAAGCAAATCATTGATCTTCTATTAATCATAATTAATTTTTTTATATAAATAAGCATTAAAATACACAGCTACAGACATACTGCAATGATAGCCACAGCTTATTTGGTGGCACTATAGAGTTCCTAATCCAGGATAAAGGACTTCCATTCCCACATCAAGTATGGTTCAGTAACTCCAGTACAGTACAATCAACTTCTCCAAGGGTGTTTAATTTCTATGTTATATTACCCAGAGATGGAGCCAAAACTGAAACCATTGGAAAGTCACAAAGCCGAAGCCAAAGTCAGCCATTAAAAAAGTCATCTAAGATTCCAGCAAACTGAGAGATTAATGTTACAAGGACATACCAGTTACTTCTCCTAGTGCACATACCTAAAGAGATAAGAGGGTCTTGGTCACTTCCATTCTCAATTGTTGTGTTGATGAAGAAGTCCACGTCGTTGGGACAGAGACGAGAGCGATAAGATCTGAAGCATCAGGGGACACATCATCAGGGTCGTATTATATACAGTACAGCATTTTATTGTTTGGGTTATCAAATTTGTTACCACATACCCATGGAATTGCTTGTTATAAACTTTTTATTAACCTTTAAAATATTCTTAGTAGTACATGTACACGATACTGTTCACATTCCTATATACTTAATGGATTTTAGGACTATAAACAAAGCTCAATTTAAATACAGAAGAGTACAGTACAGTATATACCTTTTTGCTCCCTTTACAATGCTTCCATCCACCGTTGACTCAAGTACAGAGGGAGCATATTTCCCCCTCCACTCCATGGTCTCCAACCAGTCTGACCCAAACTCAGCGTGATCCTCCAAAAACCCAACAACTTGATGCTGAGGTCGTTTCAGTTCGCCAGCTCGAAAATTATCTTCTACTTGTTTCGGGAACTTCACCTTATTCTGTTGCACACAGCTGGTTACATTACCCTCCTGGCAGTTAGATTTTCTGGTGTCATTAGAAATGGAACCGTCTCTACCGGAGTTGGATAAATTTGGAGATTTGGGAGATTTGGGAGATTTTAAAATAGAAGTTCTTTTACACCCCTGAACATCCTGAGGAACATGGGATTTAACGCCATCTCCTGCACCTGATATTACTTTGGGATTCTGGGTTGAAGCACGGGTGGTTTTATGTAGGGTTTGTGCTGCAGCATTTCTTAATTTTGTATCAAGATGGTCAAAATATTTGGAGTCTTTAGAAGTGAAAAACACTGGAGTATCAACATCGGTGCACTGTATGGAAGGCTGCAGTGGTGAAGAGGAACAGTCCCCTATAAAGGCTTGTGAAACATTAGTGATATTGATCCCCAAGTTGCAGGGAGGAAGATTGATGTTGTACGGTGTTGGGGCTCTTGCATAACTGCCATCACCCTCTGACACACACCCTTGTTGTGTGACAAGACTTGCTGCACATGACCGCTGTCTCTTTGGTCTTGGAGGATAAACTCTACTTGCTGTCTTTGGCCTTCGATCTGTCTCTCTTTCATCTTGCATTTTGGTTTTGAAAAATAATAAACTTTCAAACAAATCTTTTACAAATTTCCATCATAATACTGTAAAGTGTTATAAAATGGCACCGTACTGTACAAATATTTAACAATCTCACTTTATCTGTTATTTACTCAGTTAACAATGTCAAAAGATTACTTAGCTATTCAGAAATGACCATATAAATCGAAAGTGAAATAAAAGTTCCAATCTGACCATTCCCTTCACCTTGTAGTTCATTTTCAGATGCTGAAAGATAAAGAAATAAACAACTCAGATATTTGACAACAGAATTAATTATTGCCATGTTATATTATAGTTAAATATATAAATACAGTCCTGTACAATTAACTGTACTATAGAAATTTGTTCTGTAGAAGACAACTTATTTCTTACCCTTCCTTTAAATCATCTCTTAAAAAATATCTATTGTCAAAGTATTAATATTTTTTGTAACACTTACTATATTTACAGTACATGCTTTTATTGTACCATCAAAACCGTTTTATTGGAAATTATCATGTAAATAAATAAGTAATTACCATTGCAATAAACATAATTGCCAACTAGACATAATCCTGACAGCTCTGTCCTCTTGTTCAACCTTATTACTGTACAACCCAGGTTGTACTGCTCCCCCATTATACTTATGTTTTTCAATTCCAATGTAATATATATATATATATATATATATATATATATATATATATATATATATATATATATATATATATATATATATATATATATATATATATATATATATATATATATATATATATATATATATATATAAAATAAAAATAATAAATAAATAAAATAAATAAATAAATATTGAAGTGATAACCGTGGTAACATTATGAGATGTTCTTATTACCACCATGCTATTGTACTATTCCAGATGATACTAAATGTTACATAATACTTCCTTGAGATAAATGTACTACTGTACAGTATAGTACAGTATATATCAGGTGCCTTAAAGAGAGCTCAGGTTCTCAACTGGCTCAGCCATGTTAATATTGTTATTATTATTCACTCTGTATCTGTATTTTTCTGGCTAAATAAACTGTTTCAATTCAATTTCTTTGGTTTCATGACAGTTTCATACACAGGAACGCTTCCTCGTAACTGTTCATATAGAGGAGCACTCACAGTGATTGCTACATTACTGTTCTGTATATGATTAACTGGAGATAAGAAGAACCAAGCTAACTTACACTAGGATTAGGTTAGGTTGTTATATTACGTTAAGTTAGGATGATTCATCATATCTTTAACAAATGATATAATAGTCGCTGGGAAGTGATCCTGTGTATGAAATGGTCGTCATGTTAAAAATGAAAACAGCAATGACGAAATGCAGATTAGTGTACCAGATATCAATGTAAGTTATTTCTGCTTAATATGCCAGGGGGTCCAGTTAGGTAGGTTTCTTAAGTTAGGTTGGTTAGGTCAGGTTTTGTGCATTTATGTGTTAAGTATCATGAAATAATATCTCCAGAAATTTTGGTTTAATTTCATAAATTTTTCTGGAGCTAACCGTCTGCTCCACCATTACATTGAGTGGTTAATATATAGGACGAACCCGCCGATGCAGCCGTATCATCTCACGTCCAGAAAAAGCCTCAAATTTCACCATATCATAGTAAGTTCTTTCTGCTTAATATACCGGGAAAGTTAGGTAAGGTTAGGTAGGTTTGGTTGGTTAGGTCTGTTCTTCATACCCACAAATGTTAAGTCGCATTTATTTTTAAAGTATCCATTTTTTAACATATTTCCACAAACTACAACAGTGTCCACTACAATATAATAAAGAAAATCCGGCGTGTTTATAATTGATAATTGTTTTCAATCAATTTCGCTCGCAGGTTAGTCCTATATAATTACCCATTGAGTATTACCAAACTTATTTCATTCGGCCAAGAATGTGCCACAACTGCATAGTGGTCCACAGCTTCTAAAAATAGATGTAGCTCGGTGATTATTTTGGCTTGCAGTTATTTTTTGCTTCACCACCAGGTTGGCAAATTATGCATTGAAATGAGTGTTTTAACAATAAATCCCCTATAAAAACAAACCATAGTGTGTGGCATATATGACCAGGCATGTACAGCAGGAATGTTCCAGATGAGGGAGGCTGACACTACCCGGGGGAACTCAAAGAAGATCTACAAAACAAGAACGAGGCTAAATCTCAGAAGACACTCGTTCACGAGTAGGGTTGTCAACAACTGGAATGGGTTACCTGAGTGGGTAGTGAATGTGGAGATGGCGGAAAAGTTTGAAGCAAAATTAGATAAATACTGGAAAAATCAACAAGTATATAATTATCCGCCACACACAGCCACCGTCCGAGTAGAGAAGAGGCTACTGAGCTGAGTCACAGGCGTGAGCCTCTTCCAGAAGATCATCTGTGAGTGACGAACATACTAAGATGACAAGTGGTGAAATGATAAATAACAATACCAAAACTGTTTTAAGGTAAATACCTAAGATTCTGTGATGACATAAGTGTTGATAAGTACATAAAAGTGACATGAAAGCATTGAGTCAGTAAACACCTCCTGTGCTGGAGGTCTTTGTTTACAGACAGCTGTCGTCCGTGAGCTGGAGGCTTCAGATTTGATTCATCTAAGAATATTTTTATTTTACCTTAAGGATCTTGTGCAATTCATGCAAATATACATGAAAATACTATAAACACCATAACAAATCAACAGTAAATGTTAATTGTTCATATTAATTATGATATACTGTATATTATGGTAGATCCAAGGATTCCAAACTCTAGGAGGATGTTGGCTCGTTTATGAGCTTATTTTGTTGATAAAACTTCATTAAATATTAACCTAACATAACCTTAACCAAACAACCTTGACCTAACATAGTATTAACCAGAAATATCATTAATAGGAAGAAATCCTTAATGCCTTATTCCTTTGTTTCAGTTCATATGGAATCCACGAACGGTCATCAATGTGTCTCTCCGGATTCCACCAACAAAAATATTAACATTGAGCTGAGAATTTGTTGCCTCATAATGTCTAATAGCAAAGTAAATAGCAACTGACACTTGGAAAACATGTGCAGAAATATGAAAGAGAAGTCTTCGTGGGAGGCTGCACATTTAGGAAACGATATAAGACCAGTATAATGGACACGGCGAGAAGTATAGTTGTAAGTAACTATGAAGAGTCAATTGTTCATTTATCAGTTCACCACTTAACGGCTTACTGTCCTTGCGGGTGTATGTTCTGTTCATTTATTGACTAATGTTAGTACATGAGGAAGGTGTTGTATCTGGATAACACCCTTCTCCCGTGTACTGAGCTTACCCTTTGGAATAACATGTCATGGATATTATGTATATTTAAAGATATTGTATGAAGCCGTAAATTAAAACCAAATAATTATGCATTTCAGAACAATGCAGGATTCACAAAGAGCAACCTCGGCAAGAAGTAATGGAGGCAGCCGCCGTAGACGATGGGAAGTAAAGTCGAAAGAATCCTTTGAAACTTCCTTGGCTGTAGAAATTGAATCTCCAGAGAAGAGGACACGCAATACTAGGAATGACTCTAAACAGGAACAGTCTAAAGCATCATCCCCAAAAGATTCATCAAAAAAAACCAAAGATGACACTGACCCCCTCTCTACTAGACTCTCTGCCTTGATTAATGAAGCTAACACAAAGTACAAAGATCCTCAGAAAAGACTGACCAAAGATAAAGATAAACAACACAATAAGAGAGAAGATTCGAGTCTAAGCTTGATATTAAAAAAGAGAGAGATCATATTAGTAGTGGCAAAGTGGCAAAACCAGATAAAGAAAATATTACAAATAATTATTTTACAGATCAGTCAATAATGCAACCTCTCAAAGACAAAGATAAAACTCAGAAACTTGATGATAAGTTTGAAACAAAATCTCTGAAAGTGGCAGCTACTACACCAGTGAAGAATGAATGTGAACACGTAACCTTTGAGGCCTCTGCTCCTCCCCTGGATGAAGAGACGCCCAAGAAGAAAAAGAAAAGACCAAAAAGAAAATGAATCCCAGATCTTAATGACGAGTAATTCAAATGAAAAATCCTACATTAGTCTCCAGTTAAAAGAAATGGATGATGATATAATAGAGGTTACTAGAGAAGATAATGATTGTGTTTTATCTGCACCAAGACTGTTATTAGCTGCTTCAACTTCAGATGCACATAATAACATTAGCACAATATATCAAGAGAAGTTGGATGGCTTTGTGGTGGCCAGAAATGAATTTTCCGGTGTATACAAGAAGAGTGAAGATATTCATGATGTTAGCCAAGTTCCAACCAGAAGTTCTCATGCAATTTTTATCCAGGGAGGCTTCAGAACCTTCTCAGTATTATGCCAAGGTCTTCTTGCAGGGATAACTCACATTGTCTCTTGGTAAGTTGATTGTATGTTAATTTAATACTGTATCAATAATTTTATGCTACAGTACTAACCTTTCACACACACACACACACACACACATGGTGCGACAGTGTTCCTCCTCCCTCACTAGTGTGTTTATGATAGGTGTCACCATCTGGAGTTACTGTAATTTCATAAGTTTTATGATAATGATATATATACTGTAGTGTTTATTTATTGTGGTGATAAGTTTATTTCATAATCTGAAAAGTAAATTATGTTGAGTCACATGAAAGCTACAAAAACAGTCCTATTACAGTATACCTTCTCCACCACAGTCCCAGCTGCTGTTTGTAACTTCGTGTAATAGGAATCAGTTTTACACATTTGTGCATCAAATACAACATAAGGATATGATACTCAAAGTATGAATTTAATTGTAACTCACCAGCAAATTATCATGACTCCACTGTACCAACTCTAAAAATAATTTATTTCAGATATTCTTGCTGGATGATGACCCGAGTAATATCCCCAGCCTCTACCCTCCAACCATGGCTCATGTGTTCTTCACCCTAGTCATTTTTCTCACCACTATATGTCTAGTGGCTGCCTGTGATAGGTGTGTATATACTGTAGTGCTGTAGATGTCATCAAATTTACAATGTTACATAAAGTTACATCTTTTAGTAATATGAATTTGTAAAGATAAAGATGATTTGCAGGAGTGATCTCATTGGGCTTGGGGTGTTCTCTGGTCATGGTATCAAAGTGCCTTGGACGACAGCCTTCTACATCTCCTCTCTGGTGCTTTCTCTGGTGGCCAGACGCACGGAAAATCTTCTCATTAACTTCAGTATTTATCAAAGCTCAGGATTTTCAACAAAAGAGGTATGTATATACAGTATGTCTGTAACTCTCGCAGTCAAAGATGGATTGAGGAAGAACTATCACAATGGTAATCAGTCATCAACATCAAGATTTCCAAGATCAGTCCTCCATTTCTTTTAGTGTTTGGTTGGGTGATACCTAGTCAATTCCAAAACCCATTTTTTATTTAAATTAGAACATCAAATCCTTGATATTGAGTTATGATGTGATGATTAAAACTCTTTAACCTTTACCATTTCTGCATTTATTCTTGTGACTGTTTACTATATTTTATGAAATCCCTAAAAGAAAATTTAGAATATTATTACTGTATTTGATTAGTTTCATAGTTCGATTATACTGTACAGTACTTTTATGTTTTAATCATCTTGAAAAATATCTACCGTACATCTTACAAGCTTTTGATATATGGAAGTCTGATTTGTTTATTTAATATCAGGTAACAGATTTGATGGATTGGTGGCGATGGATCTGTGTCGCGAGGTCATTATCAGTGTTGGCTTGGCTGGCGGTGGTGCCTGATCCCCACACTGATGCTCTGCTAGACTATATCCAAGATTTTCACAAGTAAACATAGTGTTGTACCTGTTGTTGTGATAACTCACTATGTATTCTTATGTTTATTGCAAATATGTTAATGCTTGAAATGCCTTACATGCAGTATAATCAATTTCACTGCAATTATTATGCAACAAACTGTACATGTTATTGATTTTAAAACATTCCATCCATTATGCCTTATGGTAACAAGTAGTAATAACTATATTCTTGAATATTAAAATGTGATATGAAGTCCTTATGTGCAAACCATGTGTAAATAGAAATGAGTCAAAGTTTTCTTATTTCTATACATGTTCTTACATGATATCTCTGTGTCATATGTGTGGTAGGGTTGGTCTGGTACCAAGACAAACCTCTCAATGAACAATAGATGACTATTATGATGAGGTAAAGTTGACTGGGCATTTGTAAGATTTAACCTAAGTTGCTTTGACATGCCTTCAGGGTTTTTCAGTAAACAGTTTGAATATCCTTTGTGGGATAAATTTAAACAGAAATATAGCAAACAAATATGATTTACTTAGTTATTAGATATGGATGAAAAGGTGCTCATACAGCCCTCATAATAGCTGAACTTAAATACTGTATAACCAACATACAAATAATTATAACCCATAGCGAGTTATCCTGGAGGTTTAGTCCAGATGTCGTCCCTCCTGCATGTTACATTACTGAGGTGAAATATAGTTCCAGAGGTATTAACTGTTAGTTGTCTGGGTATGTAAAACTGAATTTTAGACAATCATTGTATACTGTACTTCAGTATTAAGAAGTATTTTAAGACATTGCACAAATATATGGACTTGGTTTCCTTTTTATTTTAATTTCTTGGATTTTAATCTTATTTTCTGCAGTAGAATTGAAAATAATTGGATAATTTTTATGAAAGTGGATGGTACAGTAATACAGTATTGTATAATCATATATAATATACTGTATTGTCCTTGCAGTTTACCGTAGCCATTGCTTTCTTTGATATGAAATAATGTTTCATATCAAGGGGGAAATATTTAACATACCTCTACTGATTGTCAGCAATTATTGACTTAGTTCAGTTAGTGAGAAGCTTTTTTTATTTTGTGAAGGAAAGATATCTAATAAACCCATCTGTTGTGTGATGTGATGTGTTCTTTCAGGCATAATCCAACACACAAGCCACTTAGCACAACAAAATAGTCGATATTGGAAAAAGAGTCAGGACTGGTACAGCAAAGCCATATATCAGTGAAAATTGATTGACATGAACCTAACCTTAATAATTGTAGGGTAGTTTTGGTTCATTTAGTTAATGTAAATTGAAAAATAAATGGTTTAGCTGACCAGTTCACGATTCTTTATTAACATTGATGATTATCCTTGGCACAAAGATGAACAATTATAGATACTGGTTCTAGGTCAGTTATTAACGAAAGAAACACCATAACTAATATCAGGTAATTTTATTTATTGTTTGTGAAAGTGATACATAGTGAATAAATTTTATTTTTAAGTGTGTCTTCTTATCCTTATTACAGTAGTGATAAATAAGAGCCAAAGAGCCATGATGCTCAGATAAAATGACCTATCTGATATATTCCTTTCCTTGTTATAAACTGCTGAAGTACATGTATGTGATATGGTATTAATTCTATTTATTGTTGTCTAGTTGTCAACCAAAAGCACTATCATTCACTTTCTCTCTCGGGCATCAGCTTTCTCCTCACGAGTTATCAATACAGTACGGTACTGTACGTCTATTTCACATGCTCTTTCCTGCTTATAAATATTCCACTTCTTATATACTAACCCCACCTATATTTGCCTGATTTTCCAAATACTGTATATAAACATACTCCTCTTGTGGTTAACAACCTTGTAAATATGTCAAAATACATTCCTGTGGTCCTTATCAGCAGTGAAAAACAATATGGTAACATGTAAACATCTTGTAGTCCTTAATAGGATCTTCATTTGTAAATTACAAGACAGTGAAAATAATATTTGTTGCTGTAAGATATTCTATAACATAATAAATTGCTTCTTTAGTACTGATTTCATATAGAATACAGGTATAAACATACAATGATCATATAACAAGTGTGTGATCCTGCATACCTACACAATAGGATATGAATCAAGGCAAAAGAACAGATTGATTAAATAGTTTTTGCAAAATTGTTTACTGGGGCTGAGAGACAATATACAAAGTGAATCAGTTTAGGTATATATATTTAAGACCCAAAAACTTTTAATTCAATATAAAGAAATATCCCTGTATTAGAAACACTTGGGGAAACAGAAAATGTTCAAGAAAATTTAGTTTCTTCAAAGGGTTCTTGATCTACTAAGGTGCTGTTTTATGCTGGCTTGGAGACTAAAAATAACATTAGCTCAGTTGTTCAAATTTTCACATGCATTATCAGCATCATGCCAAGATAATATGAGGCCCCTCCCCTCCCAAGGGCTAGTATAGGGCAAAATGTGATGAGAATAAAATTAAAAACTACAATTACAAAATAAGTACCAATATAATGAGATAATCATCTTAAACCAATGATATATTTTTCCTGGAATAATTACGTTGTTCAAGGGATAACGAGACAATTGGAGCTATGGTAAGAATTGAAAATTCGAGTGTGCTCAAATATTAATTCCCAAAGAAAAAATATAGTTTGTTAAAAATATAATGCTGTATGTTTAGTACTGTAATGGCATTATTTTTAAACATATATTGCAACACTAGGGTCTTGAGAGTGAACAATGCCGGGAATGTCACAAAGTTTCATTACCTTACACAGCCATCATGAAGCATCAGTCTGAGAGAAGCATCAGTGCGGTGAGTGTGTGCAACGATGGTAGCAAGAGTCAACATCAACGTTTTGTGATTACCTCAGTTTTTTTAACAAATTTCAATGAGACATATTTGCCTTCACGCTTATTTAAACATTTAAGTGTAGGATATGATATGGCGATTCTAACCAAAGCCTTAAAATTGATAAAACGCGGTGACGTACAGATTCTAAACTCCTTGCATCAAGTTGCTATCTGGGCAATGTGGCGGCGACGGACAAGAACAAGGAGCGCCTGTGTCTTAATAATCTAATTATTACTATGATTCACGCATTACAGACACAACATAACACCACACGTTTATACTTTATCGTTTTGTTGACGGATAGGTTTTATAATGTGTTGAAAAGCTTGATATAAACTTTTCAGCAAGTTCGAAATTCGGAGTGCACTATCCCGCCCAGTGTGGAAACTCAGACGATGGCAGTTCATGAAGTATCAATCTTCCGTATATTTTAATTATTTCTGGATCTGCTTCTGAGTTAATCAATGGATATATGAATTATGTAGTGCTTATAGTTGATACAAAGCGTTTAAGCCTTAGGGTCTAGACAAAACGATGTCTTCAGTAGATGACTTTTTACGTACATTTTTCGCGCTGGAGTTCAGTGTTTCCCCGCTAGAGGCAACTGAATTTACAGGACTGAGGGAAGTTTGTTTACCTTGAGTGACCTTACATAGCATTGTAAGGGCGCGTGTTTTCCAACTAATTATCCCTAACATACATATTACAACACCCTCTGTTGACATATATTTTACAGTCGTGAATCTCAGTGTTCTACCCTGAGACGCACCCTGGAAGTATATGTCAACAAGTATATGTATGTTAGGGATAATTAGTTGGAAAAACACCGCCCTTACAGCATCAGATCAGGTCAGGTCAATAACATGAGACCCACTAATCACCTATCCCACATCCACCTCAAATGCTTTCAAAGCATTTTTAACCTTAGGCCACTGATAACATGTTGAAGGAGGTAGTGTGTGATGTAGCGTGACCCAGTGGGCAGGAGAGGGACGCATAAAGCTGTCGTGATTGCTGGGACAGCAGAGGCAGAATGTGATCGATGCCTGGAAGTGAAGTGAGGCCCCTGCGCCTTGACCCGCCATCAGTTGCTGGCCACCACTGCTCGCTCACTGTCGGGAGCTGCTCACCTGCTGGCCGCCACTCTCCTCACCCAAGACATTTCGACAATGTGCAAAGTGTTTTGATATCCCGCATTGCCTCTTGCACCAACCTATTTTCCACACAGACATCGGCGTTGTAACCTTGGGAACAACATATTAGCGAAAGATTCTATTTAATAATTTGGAACAGACGCCTCGAAATATGCCTTAGTACACTGTGAGGTGTGCCAGAAGTGGAAACTCGGAAGAACTGTTGTAAGCTGAAGATCTAAAGACTGCGGCTCTCAGACAAGCGATAAATGCTGTGAAGTTGAAAAGAGTCCAGTGTCGGTGTTGGGTTTCCATGCTTTAAATTGGTTGTACAAGTGGCCCATGTGGAACACGATGTATATTGCATCACTCCACTAGTGTAAGACAAGCTCAATACTGCCTGCAACGACCTTAATACCTGAGTGCATAAAGTGACTAAATCTTATTAGCTTTCCAAACGCACCAAAATGAATGTGTATCACAATGTGGGTATTGAGGAGTGTAGTCCCAAGCATAGCATGAGTTCGCTAATGTTCTATCTGTCATCAGTCTTGTTATCAGTATAATTGGTAAGCATTCATAATTTTAATTACATATATTAATTATTAGTTTTATCAAGGTTTACGTTTGTTTGTTATCGTGTTGCCTGTAATTACCAGCGTCCTACTTGAAAGATAGTGTTTGTGAGAGCTGCATAGCTGCAATATAGGGACGCCGCTCGCTTGCCACCCCAGTAAGATTTTCCAGAAAAGGCGTGTTATGTGTTCTGGACAGTAACTCTTAGTGAGCATATATGTTCGAGATGGGTTGAATATTTATAAAATTGTATGCCAGTATAGCAGTGTTCTTCAGCACTGTGCTGTACCATGGATCGTTTATCGTTAATCACTGACAAATCTGCACTGATCCATCGTCAATATTTATTACTGGTCATAAGGCAGGACAATGGATTAGTGAGCACAGTGCGGTTATAAGATGCATAGAACTGTGAGGTATGTTTGTAATATGGTTGAGACTATTATTTTCACGCATTGAAGTTATGCGTCTCAAGGGACTGACGGTACAGTGTTGATGTGCATAGTAGCAGTTAACTAATGGTATGTTCCGCGAACTAGGTCAGTGGTAAGGAGATAGGTCAAATTGCGCCTAACCTAATCGAAGCCCGAATTAACTTGATCAGTCCCAACCAAATAAAATTCATATAATCGAAACCTACTTAATCTAACCCTTACCTAATCTGGAATTAATTAACCTAACCCAAAGTAACTGAATCCTACTTGAAATAATTTGGTCTAACCTGAACAAAACTAACCTTACCTAATTAACTAATGTAACCTGAACGAAGGTAACTTAACTTGAAATAAACAAACTAACCTGACCCAACATAACCCCAAACTAACTAACCTCACCTGAACTATTGTAACCTGATCTAATCTCTTGAAATCCAACCTTGGATAAGGTTATATAGGCTGCTGTGAATGTACTTTTGTCACAAGTCGTTCTTGACCCAGAGGCCCCGAGTTTTGCTGTGGTTGGGCATTAACCTACAAGCGACGATAATGCGTTTGTTTCAGGAGACCATTGTTGGGAATTGGACGAGGATATTGTAGTTTCATGAGGGCTTGGGTGATGACTAGGCTACATAGTGAAAAATGGTTTAGCAACACCATCGTGAGGTAGTGGGGAGCCGAGGCCACCTGAGATATGGATCGAGGCAATAAGAAAATCGATAAAATCTTGAGTGTGTGTGGTGGGGTAACGGGCGACTTTGATTGGTGGAGGGGAAGTCACTGTCTTTGCGTGTCTTACCGTGAACAGGAGTGTATAGTTATTCTTAGTGTAATGAACAATATCACAAAACAACAGTTCTCAATAGGCTCAGCCATGTCAATATTGTCCCTGTTTACTTTGTATCTATAAAATTCTATACAATTTGGCTAAATAAATGGTTTCTATTTAAATCTTTACAGAGGTGATCACGTATTGGTTGTAGCTGCGTTAGTGCGGGCCTGGCAGTATTCCGAGCAGTACATTTTGAAAATTCTTACTGCGAAACATCGGGTTATAAAGTTAAGAAAGGCGGTCAATAGGCTGATAAATATTGTATCCCCAAATTCATCAAGTTTATAACATCGGTAGTTAAGGAACTGAAATTTTCTTTGGGATTTTGTGTATTATAATTAGTCCATGACGTGAAGGATTCGGGAACGCTGTGTAGATAGTAGTCATGTGTTTACAGGCACAAATTTTGTCGTTATCTCAGCAACCGTATTGGAGTGACATTTTGTGTGGTTGGTGTTTTTTTTTGTATCGACGCCTAAAAATATGTTGCTTACATAATTTATGATCGCTTGCTTGGGGATAAGGTCATGATTTTCGCTATGGTCAAGGCCACAGTGCTCTACCGATATTTGCATGTCAGCGAGGGTCCTTATACCCCTAATTCTGAATATAGTTTTTATTCTGATATTACATCTACTCGCTGCGTAGTTTTCAAGACAACATTATCGGTCAGCACGAGTCTCGGGTTAAGGAACAGTTACTATTCCTCATACGTGACAATGTAAAAAGTCCCTTAACTGGTTGACTTAAGAGACAAGGGTATAACGTTCACAAAATTGCATCAGTTAGTGTGAATCTTACTAGGATGCCTTCACTTAGCACGGGTTAGGTGATACAATTACAGTTGGGACTTTATAAGAATCTATGTTATTTCGACATGGTGTTTAGTGAACGTATCTAATTAAAAGCTTCCGTGTAGTTTTGTTGCTATTTCTGAATGCTATTTTTGTTGTATTTTGAGTGGACTAATTAAATGCATCGTTATGTCTTCAGATATGAGGAATTTCCACCGCACGACCTGTTCAGAGTCAGGACCTAGATTGGCTCGTATTTTGTTCCAGGAATATTCGCGCCATATTTTGTATTTTTTGTCATGTTTCATCAGCGTAACACGGACATGAAACTGTGCGTGACGCGTGCCTCTGGGTTAGCTTACCGCCTCGGTCGATTTGATGCTGGATCTATAAATACCAGAGGCTGTCATGTTAAGAGATCGATTAACAGAATATTTTTCAACTTTATGGATGTATGTTGACATGAGTTAACCGCCCGAAATGTCTGCCGTCAGCGATACGACTCTGATACACGGAAGTTTATTGTTTACTATGACTTAATAACGGGGCGGGCTAACGGGAGAGCTCGGTTAAGTACGCTGTAATTCTCCCAGACAGAGAAATGAATAGAATGAAAAATATAAACATAGAACAATAAGACTGATGAATAACGTCCGTGATCCTGTTATTGATATTTTAAGAGCAAGAATTATTCACTAATGATTTTATTTCCCGTGTCGCAGAAGCAAACTTTTGTTGGCGGGCATTGTTACATTATACCCAGCTGTGGTGTGTGAGGGATGACCTAACTTTCTGGTGGTCCTGTGTATAAATGGCCCATTTCTATGGCCAAATGACTAAAGTGGAAGCCATTTCGTCAGTTGGTTGAGAGTTGGCACATTACTTCGACCTTTAAATACCACTAGGCCAGGCATGAATGTCAGGTTGAATAAATAATTGCACTGTAACCATCACAGGGCTACGGCTGGTATGTTTGCTGTTGATGGTACTGTACCTAGATATTTCACTATAGGTATATGTTAGGAAGCCAAAAATATTGATCCTCGTGTTTCACTGGACTCAATTTAAATGATGTCGAAGTTTGACTTGGTTCTGTTTGGTGTTTTGTCTGTCTGTCCGTTTGTCACAGTTATGAATGCAGTAACATACAGAATACATGTAACCAGCTGAAGTTATTGTGTGCAATTCACCAGCATAGCGTTTTGTAATGTTATATAATAGTGGTCAGTATGGTCTGGCTGTCCTCATACCCTTCCGTGTTAGGTTAAAAGAACACACTTAAGGTTGTGAGGTACAGTACAGTACTGGACATTAGGGACAAGAGGAGCGTGTTATGTAAATTATTTTCACCCATCTGGTTCATGCATGCTCACTGTGGCTTTAACTTTGTTTATTTGGACGAAGTGGACGTTTCTTCGATTATCCCAAACATGAGGCAGTTCTTAATGTATCAGTAGTGAGCAACAACCATAAATACTGCTCAGATTATAGTGCCGGGGGCGTAAGGTTAAGGACAAAATTTTATAGTGAAAATTTTTATTTCTGCCGCCATATTATGATTTTTCAAGAGTTAAGGGATTTTGTGTAGCAAGAAGGCAGTTAGCACGACGAGGAATCAGATTCTGGGTTAGAAATGATGTATGAGATTTTAGATGTCAATATTAGTAGGACATGTTTCAACAACGGGTCTTAAAAATAAAATGTGTGACACGACGGATGTGTAACAGCGCCTCGAGTAATAATGGTAGGAAGTGTAGCGTGTTGGGCAGAACTTTCTGGTGGTGGTGTTACTGCTATGAATATCCTCTACTGTTGCTACTTGTTGAAGACCCTTAAAGGTTGATTCTCCTTCATTGATACCTATTATTATTCCTTCACAGGGGGAGGATGGGCCTGGGTGGGGAGGAGGAGGGCCCAGGAGACGACTCACACGAGTTCACGCCGCCACGTCCTCACTGCTCACCTCGCCCAAGCCAGCGCGGTCCACCTCATCTGGAACTCAAGCTCCTCTCAAGCTCACATCTTCCATATTTTTAACATAATAAAGATAGACTGTGTCTGCCAGGTGTAAGGATGGCTACTTTTGAGAGCATAAGACAACCCGCCGATGTTCTCGACGCCTCCCCACAAGCACCACTGTTATCTCCACCGTTCCCTACGACGCCGTTACTGGTATCTACAAGCTCTCCCTTCCCAGCCGCTGTGTTGACCAGAAACATAGACAAGAGAGAACCTGACCCCCATAATATGGACTCTTCTCAACTCGCGGCCCAGCCTGTAGGTCACTTATCACCTTCCAGAAACTCCACGTCTTCAGCGTCCGTGCACCCGACATCCCCCAGGAAGGTCTCGTCCCAGCTTTCCCCCCGATGTAAATAACGTGAAGACCTCGAGTAACGGCCCTAATGATGATAATTCATTACTGCCCGAGGATGTGAGAAGTCGGTTGTCGCAGTATTCCCTCACGCCGGAACCAACCCGCGGGCACAGAAAGACAACCACGCACAGTCTTCCAAAAAATAAGACCCAGTTCATCATCTCGCTGAAGGAGGAGCTGAAGAAGCACAACATAATCCCTGCCAACTTCAACAAACTCGGCTTCTTCGAGGAGCTGTACAAACTGCTGGCGGACGACATGTGGGAGATCCGCAACGAGGCCACGCTGCTCATTCTCGACCTGCTTCCATACCTCAAGAATGACGTCGACAGCTGTATGTCTATTGTTCTTCCTAACCTCGTACCAAACCTGGGCGACAGCCGCATTAGGCTCCAGAAGTCTAGCGTGCAGCTACTCAGAACCTACGCCACTGTAAGTAAGGATAAGGAGGGTCTTGTTGAAGACCTCGTAACATACGGCATCAACCACAAGAGTAAGAAGATTAGCAGATCGGCCACACTAAACGTGATTCACCTCATCACAGATGATTTCTCCAGCGTCGACCTCTCCTATTTGGCCCAGGCCCTCTACAAGAAGGTCTACGACCCTGACGTAAAGCCAGCGGCTGTCCCTACCCTCAGAGAACTCCACAGCCTCGTTGGAGATGTAAAATTCAATCGTTACCTGAATCGCCTGAGTTCTAACTCGCGAGAAAAACGACCAGATCCTGGAGGTAGTGGACCAGAGTGCCAAGAGACAGAAGTGACGACGGAGGCAACGACGACGACGAGGATGTGGTAATATCAAGCAGAGGAGAGCGGACCGCCAGCCACGACATAGAAGCACTACGCGGCCAGGGAGGGATGCAGTTCGGCATTATTGACGACGCCATCATGGAGAAAATACGACACCCGGTGAGTACCATCTACTGTTTTAATTATCTGGTGTACCTGTATACTACTTCCTGTCCAGTGATCTTTTTGAGTGAGATTCTCCTGTGCCGGTAAGTATTGGGTTAACAATTTGGAAACGTGCAGTGGTATACTTACTGTGAGAGCAGGTTGGCGTCTGTTGATTTTGGTGGACTTTCCGCTGTTAGGTGAGACTTGGTTATGTGAAGCGACGAGGGTAAACCAGATTGACTTATATCTCCCTTCTTCCACCCCTTTCTCCTGCCGCTCCCTACCTTCCACCCACCCCTCTCACTATACTTCCAGCCCTCTTCCCCTCCCTGTTATTACCATCTTCTCACTTCCTTCCACCCACCCCTCTCACTATACTTCCAGTCCTCCTTCCCTCCCTGTTATTACCATCTTCTCACTTCCACCCACCCTACATACAAAGCAGCCTCTACCTCATGTCAAGTAGGTCATACGCGTAAGCTCCCTCCACCACTACGCACCAGTAATTCGCGTATCGACACAGGTGAGGACAGGTGGTGGCGGTGTGATGTAAATAACTCATTACATTGATATACCACACTGAGTAGCGCTTCAACCAGCGACTTAGCCTGTATTATCCGCTGCAGCTACAAGGTTCCTGTATCCTTATAATTCTCAAAGGGACAGTCACTGAATGACATACTGTACTCCACTGCGTTAATGGGAGTTAGTGAACTGTATCTATGTGTTCTCAGAAGTACAGTCAGTAAAAGTCCTGTACTAGCACTTGACAGTAACACCCCCCTCCCCCTGTACCACGTAGAGCAACGACGACTGCGAAATAAAACAGGTGGGAAGATCGTGGACGACTAAGCACTGCAGTCTTGACCTTCGACCCAGTGACCCCAAAATCAATAGGGGATTTTCCTTCTCTCCGCGGCCAAGGTATCTGTGTAATTATCCGGTTCATCTGTGCGTGAAAACTGTGAGGTAGAGTACGTTCCGTGGATCAATATGTGTTACAATTAGGACCTGGACCTTTCGCCTAGTGACCCTGATAATAGGGACCTGAAAGGCCTCTCTCTCTTGGGAGGTGTCTGCGATGTGTTCAGCAGTGTGTGGAGACTCACTTTAGGCTCTTTAGGCAAAAATACGACTTTCACAAACCTTACGACTCAAAGTTGATGAACAGATTAGGCTCAAAACTTGACTGAGGTTAAACAGAGAGTGGACACGAGGGATTATTAGCACTAACAGGTAAAATTAAGCTTATTAAATCAAGCTTATTTACTTTTTATAATTTAGGTTCAGAGTGTAATGATGGATATCGACTCGTGGCACAACGTTTCGAGTAAATCGGTTTGGAGGCTGACCGCGAGGAGCTGAAATCAATGGTGTTGAAGGAATGTTTTATTCTGGCGGCGAGTCTCATGGTGACTCCTCAACAGCTAGTTAGAGGCTTGTGGGTGTACATACATTACTCACAAACACCAAGATACATCAAGATCCTGATTAATGGAAGGAATAAAACACCTCCGAGCACAGTGTGTTAACATGTTGCTGTTAATACTTAATTTATTACCACCGTGGTGACAAAGATACGTCTTGTCCCGGATTATTGAAATATTCAGGAAATCACTAACCGAACTGCATGTTATGTTGTGACCCGGATGAATGGTTATCACCAAACGAACGACAAATTGCGTGTTGCCCTCGATGACAGAAAAGTAAATTGTCTCACAAAAGGTAATTTATCTCTGGTAATAGATTAATAAAATCACCATCTCACGAACGGTGGGTTGCTGGAAGAGAAGAAATATTTAGATTATCAACGACAAGGTGTGTGTGTGTGTGTGTGTGTTTGGTGTTTTGACCCGGATTATTGAGGTTATCACACACACGCACACACACACTACGGTAGCCCTAAGGAATGTATAGCATGGGAATGTGTCTCAGTAAGGGCGCGTTACGGTGAGACGTGACCCCCATGGGCCTGCGGGTTGCGTGTCTTACCTTACAACACACCTCACCAGTCTCTCCCCCTACCTACTCCCTCCTCCTCCCTCCTCCTCTACTCATAAACGGGTCTCGTAGGACAACACAACCAACCCTATATTTGTCTTGGTCAGTTTTTATATTCAGGTATAATATAAGGTTACGTGTGTGTGTGTGGCTCAGTGGTCGAACATGCGCCTCCCGAGCTAAAGGTCTTTGGGTTCGAGTCACGGATGTATTCTAGTTAATTCAGGTGTGGTGAACTAAATTATGTGTTATTATGTGGTTATTTAAGGCATATTCTATTTAATTCCGTGTTATGCTAGTTAATTGAGTATTATTGGATGGATACTTAAGACAGGCATACATACATAGATTACACACATACATACATACATACATGCTTACATACATACATACATTACATACATACACCATAAAACAGTAAATGAATGTTAGGGTGTGTGAATGTGTTTCCGGTAATGCTAGAAATGGTCTTTGTGATGTGCGTGTTTGCAAGGGATCTCTCTCTTCCCCCCCCTCCCCACACCCATACATGACCCCACAACACCATTTTATACATGACCCACCCAACACCCATGATCCTACACCCGATACATGACCCCACACCAGCACCCATTGGGACATAACCTGCCAGCTGTCATGGAGAGGTGTTCACTGGATTCTCTGTTGGCCAATATGACTGATTTACCAGACTCCTGAACCATCTTCAACCCCTGCTTATTTCACCTAAGAGTAACCACCCTAATACTATTACGGGGGTTAGGTTAGCTCAGGTCAGGTCAGTTTTACGCCAATTCAAATAATCGTTTCAGGCAAATTACATAACTTTAATACATATGGTACGGGTGAAATTAGAATGTGCGCTCCTTTAGTCTGAAGTACTGAGCTTTTTAATGTTTTTTTATTCCAGGAAAACACGCACTAGCTAACATGCTCACACACACACACACACGCACAGAGGGTCCTCATAATAAAGTTTAAATTGTTATTTTAAACTTTTCGAAGTCTGGGGTATACACACTAGTCCCCCAAACTTCGGCTACGACTCTTCACCAACACAGATGGGACTCAGGCGCCACAACGAAACTACCTGAGCTCATCCCTCTATCCCCTCTCTTGTTCTTCCTATAAAAAAAAAGATAAATATTATCTAGAAGTCATAGTGAAGAGAAAAAATTGAAATATCAGTGACGGGTGAGTCTTGTTTTGTGGAAGCGAGGCATCTTTAGATGTGCTGTACTTCCCGGTGAAGGCAGGAAGGAAAGTGCGAGGCCCAGCACTCAGTTACGGCGTGGACAGAACACCACGACGCAGAATATCAGCCAGATTATATAACATACTATGATAATCGCCCACAATAGACTAATAAAACGTGGGTCAGTGAGAAGGACGCAATAAGTGGTGTCCTGCTGTTTGGAGACGGGACTTACCTTAGGGTCACCGCGTTCTTGCCCGTACGGCACCTCAAACGATCGCTGCATGAGAAGTTCACCGTTTAGATCGCCGCTGACTGCCACAGATGTGTCGGGTTTGTCTTCGTCAATCTGTGCGACAACCGACCAGCCCTGACCCATGATGTCTGGGGCTTCTTCCCGAGAGTTCTATCTCCGCCTCTGCCACATTCTCGTCCCTCACTGGGTTACTCTTCCCCGTCAAACACAAACTTATTGACAACAACAAAAAAGTCAAAGTAAACATTTTGAAAAAATTTAGACCTTATGAAGTAAATTTGGTGTGCTAATAATTGTTTTATTTAATTGGTAAAGAGATGCCGTTAGTTGATGGGAGATGAACCGTGAGGTGACAAGGACAATGTAAACACATTCAAGTTAATAACACAGCCTAACTTATATCCAGCAATGGGTTAATTTATAGTAGAGGACATAATTTGATATTGGGTTTCATTTGTTCCAAATTATAAGTTCAAGCAAAAACCAGACTATTGTCATCTTATGACACTTTTGGCGCATTTTAATCCATAATTGTGGGTGGGGAACATGGCGAGCGCATTGAGCCCACCCAGCTGTGGGGATTTTGGGAGTTGGAATGAGAAAACTACCAGAAAAGCAACGTATTATTGTACGTGTTTCCACCAATCTCTATTTCCCCCTTTCTCAAAAAGTCTATGGAAAGTTTACATATCATTTCACAACGCCGTGAGAGCTGGGGACGTGTGCTGAGTCACGCACCCTCATAACACACACACACACAACACCATATTTTTCTGCTGTTCTTTTATATGTCGGTGTTGGTGGGGGAGGGGGAGGGTAATGTAGGTTATGTCCTTGTGTACATCCATCTCTCCTTCCGTCCTCCCTATAGGTTCTTTCTCCCATCTGTCTGTGTGTCTGTGTGTCTTGTTAGTAATCTATCCCTTTAACTGAAGGATTTACTGTCTCAGACGAAGTGAAGTCTCTGAGGAGGTTTGCTGCTTCGGCCCAGTTTGTTTTCTTCGCACGGTTGGAGGAGAGAGAGAGAGAGAGAGAGAGGTACTGATTATTTTCTTTATATTTTCCCTTCGTTATTCTCACATCTCTAGTTAGGAAAAAACTTCATTAGCTTTGGGAGTTTGGAGAATGCAGGTGTGTGTGTGTGTGTGTGTGTGTGTGTGTGTGTGTGTGTGTGTGTGTGTGTGTGTGTGTGTGTGTGTGTGTGTGTGTGTGTGTGTGTGTGTGTGTGTGTGTGTGCTCTCCTCTTAGCGCCGCCTTGGAGGGTCTCTGCCTCGTCTGTGTTGTGAAGCCCAGGAGTTCGATCGCTAACCCGTCGTCTGGATTCTCAAACTCTTTGTGATTTATTTATTTATTTATTTCGTCTTTGTTAGTGAGTTCAACAGTAGAATTAGTTTTGTTGTTCCATTACCGGAATTAGCAGAGTTATCAAATGAGTAGAATTTAATTAGTTGTACTTATATAAACTAGAGATAAAATTAGTTGTATTTCCTTACCAACAAAGGTCAAATTAGTTAGGATTTAATTATCGGAATTGAAATCACTTATAGTTAATTACCCTACCTA